TAATGACTGATATGAATGATTAGTTTGGGGAGATTCTTTAAGGTGATTTTGCTACTTCAGCTAAACAACATCTTAACATGGTAGTGTCTGTTCAGATACACAAATACTTAGCATTGTCACGACTACCTGTGTGTTTCAGTACACAGTAACATGCTGTGCAGGTTTATAGCCTAGCAGCAATAGGCTCTACCAGATAGTCCAGGTGTGTAGTAGGCTAGACTGTGTAGGTTTGTGTAAGTCACTCTATGATATTCACACAACGACCAAGTCACCTGATGAAGCATTTCTCAGTCTGTATCCCCGTCATTATTCATTGCATGGCTATGTAGTCTAGGTTGTGAATTTTAAAGGATATTTATGTTTACTAAAAACAAGTTGTTGAAGTTCTGACATTTTGGTTTTTCTGCGTATTTTAGAGTAGTTGTATTTTTAAAAGGACTCCATTTTACCCCAGGGCTCTGGCCAGTTGAACTTTGTAACTGTTACTTCATACCTGGCTTCTTCCTACTTGAAAGAGTACAAATAGAAGCGAAGGCCGAGCAGGGTGGCTTCTTTCTGCTTGAAAGAGTACAAATAGGAGTGAAGGCCGAGCAGGGATGACTCACTTACCAGTGCCATTTGTTCCCAGTCAGCTTGCTGTTTGGCTAAAAGGTAAAATATGTAATTTTTGCATAAGGAATTAGCTGTGGATATATCTTGGTTTTGAGTTTGTAGTATGTCCAGTACAAAGATGTATATTTCAAAGTGTTGTTCTCTGAAAAATGCTATTCTAACTCTGAATAGTGGGGAGCAAAAGGAATTAGTTGGCTGAGTGTGGTGGCTCACACCTGTAGTCCCAGCACTTTGAGAGGCCGAGGTGGTCGATTGCTTGAGGCCAGGAGATTGCTTGAGACCAGCCTGAGCAACATAGTGAGACCCTGTCTCTACAGAATTACAAAAAAAATTAGCCAGGTGTGGTGTTACAGGGCTATAGTCTCAGCTACTCTGGAGGCTGAGGTGGGAGGATCACCTGAGTCCAGGAGGCAGAGGTTGTAGTGAGCCAGGATAGTTGCTAAAGAACTCCTTTTCTTGTGTTTAAATCTCAAGTTTAAAATCAGTGTACTAAACCCACAAAGTCATGGCTGGGGAATTGGAGGACCTGATTCATGAGTTAGGCCACGCTGCAGGAGCACACAGGCTCTGCTACAGGAAGGTTGCTTCTGGCTCACTGGAACAGCATTGGCAGGAACTTAGAGCAGTAGGTGACTTTCTTCCATGTGGTGATTTGGGGACCAAGGCATGTTCCATGTTTTGGTTCTACCATCCCTCAGGGTCTTTTGGTCTTCAGCATTCAGCCAGATACAGGTGAAGGACCATGGGAGGTTTGATGGCTCCTGGCACAATGGAGGAAACTCTCATGTGGCCACACCTATATGGTGAGTGCCCCAGGAAGGGGAGAATGGAGATGGGTGACTGTCAGCACCTCACTGGGCAGGGTGCAAGGGCTGTGGGGTAGCCGTTGGGTGGATTCAGGAGACTGCAGAAAGCAAAGTGGGTGTTAGTGGGACTTTTATTTCCTCTGGAACAAAGGACACTACACTTTTCTGTGAAAGACTAGGTAGTAAATATTTTAGACTTTGTGGGCCGCAGATGGCCTCTATCATATATTCTTTTTTTTTTCTTAAAACAACCCTTAAAACATGTCAAAATCATTCATAGCTGGCAGGCTGTGAGCTGGATTTGGTTTGCCAACACCTCTTCTTACTTCATCACAACTAATTATCTCTCTTCTTTATAAACCCAGTATTAATGAGTTTCCTTTATAGTAAGGTTGAGATTTTGGAAGTCAGTTTTTACTTGAGGCAAATAAGTTGTATCTTGATTCATAATTCAGAAGTGTCATTTTATCTAGTTTTTGGACATAGCTTGTCACCTGATTGGTAAATGTATACCCTGTTTATTATTAGCTAAAAATAAGTGCTTGATATCAGATTCACTTTTTTTCTGATTTATTTCTTAGTATTTTTCATGCTTTGCCTTTAATACTAAGTATGGGGAATAGTAGTAAAAATATATTTTAAAAAAAGGTTTTGTGATTTTTAAGAACACAGAGGAGCATGAGCCATATTACTCCACCGGAAGCATTGGTGAGTGGTGCTGGCATTGTTATTCCGTGCCCTCAGACAGCGAACGGTGGCGCTGGCGTTTTTATTCCGTGCCCTCAGACAGCGAACCACTTCTCTTCCTCTGTGGGAATGGAAACCCAACTTTTTCCCTCTTCCATTGAAGTTATCTTTTGTTATACTTTTGTCTTTTTTTCTACTTGTTAGTTGTATTAGTATAAAATGGCATAATAAAGTTATTTTGTTTACCATTTCCCACTCGTCTGAAAATCGCAAAAAGCATTTATTGCTAAGGTTTATATCCACTGACCTTTTCCCCAAAGTTCTTTTCCTGTTACTTGTATGTCGTCTTTGCCCTTATTTCTTTAATATTTGTGTTAGAAGTAGCTTGCTCTTATTTCCTTCACTGGCAGATGTGTTACATTGCCCACTGGGTGGCTTCTGTGGATGCCCCTACCCAGCCCTCGTCTTGAGCAGAGAAGTCCTGTTAGCTTAGGACCATAGTGGCTGCTGTCAGTGTGAGGAGTTGTGCTTCTCTAGCATGGTCTGTGATGTCATTTGGACATAATTATTAGACTAATCCAGTAGAGGAACAAGACAGCCCTGCCGCTGACTGTGGGCCACCGCTTTGTGTCATCCCACAGAGCTTTGTGCTGAATGTCAGTCCTCCACATTGACTCCTCTTGTAAGATGCTGTGTCCAGCCATCACAATGGCTGCCATCCTTAAATATGTCTTGGTCCTGTTGCTGCTAATTAATGTGAACTTGTCGCCATGTGTCCTTTAAAGCATTTAAAGGTTTTTTTTTTTAAAAAAAACAAGGAAGACTTTTGTAACACCCTTCACTTTTTATAATATTCCTATTTAAAACTTGTTCTTTTAAGGAGCTTTTGAAAGCTTCATTAAAACTGTGCTTGACTGGGCACAGTAACTCATGCCTGTAATCCCAGCACTTGGGGAGGCTGAGGCAGGTGGATCACTTGAGGTTGGGAGTTTGAGACCAGCTTGGCCAACGTTATGAAACCCTGTCTCTACTAAAGATACAAAAAAAAAAAAAATCAGCCGGGTGTGATGGCATGCTGTAATCCTAGCTACTTGGGAGGCTGAGGTAGGGATTACTTGAACCTGGGAGGCAGAGGTTGCAGTGAGCTGAGATCATGCCACTGTACTCCAGCCTGGGTGACAGAACAAGACTCTGTCTCACAAAAAAACTCTGCCTATATTTTAAATAATATGCTCTTATACTTAAGAATAAAATGTTCAGTGATCTCACTGCCTATCCTGTGAAGTGGATCTACTTTTTACAGAGCCTTGAGTAACCTGCCATGGTACAGAGTTTGTTTTCCTTCTTTTATTCCTGGATTGATCAGTGCTTATACTAGCAGTGTCAGTGATTTTGCCCTCTATGATCTCTATTTAAAAAAATTTTTTCTTTTTTTTGAGGCAGATGTTCATAAAAGCATAAAATCAGGATATATTCCTGCCTGATCTCCTAATGTGGGTGGGTTTTTTTTGTTGTGTTTTTTTGTTTTTTGTTTTTTTATGGAAATAGGGTCCTCACCCTGTTGCCCTGCTGGAGTATAGTAGCACAATCATGGTTTACTACAGCCTCAACCTCCTTAGTAGCTGGTACTACAGGAGTGTGCCACAATGCCTGGCTAATTTTTTGAATTTTTCTTTTTTCTTACAGACATGAGGTCTCACTATGTTGCATAGGCCGATCTTGAACTCCTAACCTCAAGTGATCCTCCCGCCTTGGTGCCTGCCAAAGTGCCGGGATTACAGGTGTGAGCCACTGTGCCCGGCCCAAATACATACTTCTAAAAATATGTGCTATGCGTGGATTACCATCTTCTGCGGCCTCCTTCCTTTTACCTAGGCTCTTGTAAATGGCATGTGGATAGTCATGCTTTTTTGGAGATAATGATAATGGGACACCTCACTAAGTGGGTAGTGAAGCTCCAGCTTATACATAGGTTTCGTTTAGGGGTTACAGAGAGTCAGTATGTATTACCAAACTCCGGTTTAGGAATTCTGCAGTGAGCATATAGACAGACAGGAAAGGTCTTTGAATGGTCTTCTACTGAGGTCTTTACTGTGATGCCATCATCCCGTCATGTATCTCAAAAGTGTCTTTTGAGATCATCCCATCATGAATGGCAGCCTTTAGATCATGTAGTGAGCCCTCTGTTTTATGTTTCCGTTTGTAACAAATAAGTACCTTTTTTAGCTCTATAATTTGAAGTAACAAACTCTGTTTTCCTTGTTGAGGAAGGATGGGCATGAAGCTGAGGAACGAATATGTATGTGGCGTAGTGATTGGGTTTCATTGTCATGTTTTGCTAGTAACCAGAGGAGAAGCAGTTTCTCTAACTCCTTGAGAATTAGTTTTCAGTTTTTAGTAGTATATTAAAAATGGCACAGATTTTACCAGTTTATTTCTTCAGGCTTTTGACTATGAAAGTACTGATTTGCAGTGATTATTTAGTTCTTTAGTCTTCTGAAGCCGTCTAGATATTTAGGCCTCACTGCTTATCACTTGTTGCTGAAGATATTCTGTCCTTCACCCTTAAGAAGAGAGTGACTTTTCTCTTTTCCCAGCATCACTTCTTAACAAAGTATGGATGAATTACTTTTGCAGGTTAAAATCGTCCCAAGTGTTAGCTTTGAGCATTTTCAAGTCAAAATTTTTTATCAATTAAAATATTTTCTTTTTTGAGAAGGAAAAAATTCTGCCAGTTATGCTTTAAAAAGTATTTTATAGGTTCAGTGTGAAGCTTATTTAACTTATGTGAGCGAAGTTGGCATTTTAGACTATAAAACTGAACTGAAATATGAATTATGGAAAATTAATTTGTAAAGTTGAAATTTTATGAAATACTTTCTGCATTTTGTTTAGACCAGCATGTTTTGGAAATTTGATCTTCACTCATCATCCCACATAGACACACTTCTAGAAAGAGAAGATGTAACACTGAAGGAGTTAATGGATGAGGAAGATGTTTTACAGGAATGTAAAGCTCAGAACCGCAAACTTATAGAGTTTCTGTTAAAAGCAGAATGTCTCGAAGATTTAGTCTCATTCATTATAGAAGAACCACCTCAAGACATGGATGAAAAGATCAGATACAAGTAAGACAATTCAATCTTCTCTCTAGAGTGGGACTAAAGTGAATTGGGGGTAGAATATACAGCTCTTGTTCAAGGATTCTCCAGTGTGACTGTCGCCATTTACAGAAGGGTAAGATAGTCAAGAATGACAGGCTCAGTGGAGCACAAAATCCATTCTAGCAGTAAGTCCAGGGAATCACAAGAGTTTAAAATGAGTGTTCTGAGTCTCATTCAAAGGTTTTCTGGAAAGGCAGCGTGCTTTGTAAACAATGACAAATGTCTCAAAAATAGTAAGATGATTAAAATATTTACTTTACAAATAGGAAGATGGACATTATGTGACTACGCAAAATCGCACAGCAAATCTAAGTCAGAACTTGGGGTTACTGAGAGCATTGCTTATACAATACATTCTGACCTTTTATCAGCTGAAAATAAAGGAATGGGTATTAGCGAACATCAGTGTAGCTGGTCACACCATGGGTAACTACAGTGGATTTTGTCTGCTAGTTTAATCTGCTTATAAAGAGAGCGACAGTACAGTGAGACTCCATTATTACCATCACTATAACACTTTTTATACAAACCCCTGGAAACTCCATAGGTATGTAAAGTATTGGGGCTTCAGTTAATTATTTCTCCATATCCAACTCTATTGAAATATTTGGCTCTTTTCCCCCCAGAAGATAGAGCAACTTCAGAAACAAAAATTGATGCATTACATAAACTTAATGGAATAGGAAGAATTAGGCTTTTAGTAGTGTCTCTCTTGCCATTTCTCTCTCAGTTTCCCTTTCTTTTCAGACATCTTTTCCTTTCTTCTTGGGGAGAAATGTGTTGTTGGGGAAATAATACTTATCAACGCTTTCAAGTTGCTAGTGGCTTAGGTCTTCAAAGATGCAATGTTCTCTGCCAACCATTAACATTGACACCTAGCATTTAGTGAAAGCCTTCACTCAGAGATTAGTGTCTTAAAAAAGAGGAGGAAAGGCCGGACGCGGTGGTTCATGCCTGTAATCCCAGCACTGTGGGAGGCTGAGGCAGGTAGATCATGTGAGGTCAGTAGTTCGAGACCAACCTGGCCAACATGGTGAAACCCTGAGTCTACTAAAACTACAAAAATTAGCTGGGCCTGTTGGCAGGCGCCTGTAATCCCAGCTACTCAGGAGACTGAGGCAGGAGAATCACTTGAACCCGGGAGGCCGTGGCAGACATGCTAATGTGCTCTCATCCCCCAAACGATAGACACTTTGCTACTTGGAATTCCCTTCACAGTGAACTAGTGTATGGGTGGTGCTACTTGAATTGGGGCTCATCCGTGTAGGAGGGGTGTGATATGCATCAGAGAGCACAGGTTTTGGATCCGCCCCTTCAGAGGAGTATAACCCTCTTCTCTTCCAATCTCTGAGAGCTTGGGCAGGGAGCTTACCCTTCTTGGGTCTGTTTCCTCACATGCTGAGTGAGGCTAGTGATGTTTTAATCATTGAAGAGTAGGCATGCCTTCTATGAAGGGCTTACTTTCTCCAAAAGAAATAGTCGCCCCTCCCACCCATTATAACTGTGTGGCACTTGTATTGTGTTGCTTTGCCAGTGTTTTTGCCTTTGAGGTTGCAAGAACAAATGCGCCTCCTCTGGACACAGCCTTCTGCATGGTACCATTTTGAAGGAGCACCACTTGAGTTGGATAGGCCAGTACTCTGCCATGCTTCTGGCCTGAGCAGAGTCACCACCTGTGTGTAATGTACCTTGGATGATGCCACAGCTAGATGAGCATAGAGGGGTTTTTCAGCTGGGATCTGAAAGTGTTTTAGGGTTATGGTTGACTACAGTCATTTAAGGAAGTTTAGACTGGGATTGTGTAGTTTTGGGATGAAAGAGTAATTGCTGTATTGGGGTAAACCAGACTAAAAAGCCCACCAATAGTTTGTCAGGTAAGACCTCTGGAGAAAAATGGAGCATGACGAGACAGGGAATGCTGAAGGTGGTGGAGTGGGCAGAGGAGCTCAGGGAAGGCCTAATTAAGATAGTGCCGTCTCGTCAGAGCCATGCAGGAATTAAGGGGGTTGCCAAGTGGGTACTTAAAACAAGGAACATCCAGGCAGAGGGAACAGCAAGTATGGAAGCCCTAATGTGCTCGTGTGCGTGGTGTACCCCAAGAACATGTGGGCAGCCAGCGAAGGGGCAGCATTGTAAATGAGGGAAAATGGAAGGTGGGAGAGTTGGGGTGAAGTTGGAGCACCTCTAGAGACAGGCCATACATGGCCTGGTAGGCTCAGCCAGGATGCTTGCTATACTTGGGACAAGATGGGAAGCCACCAGAGGGTTTTGAGCAAGTATGTGCCGTAGTCTGACTTTGTTCCCAGGAGTGCTGTGCCTGCTCTGTGGTTAGGGACTGTAGGAGGACAGAAGTGGAAGTACAGTTGGCTGCAGTGATCAGCAGAGAATAATAAGATCTTAGTGGACCTGATTGGTGAGAAGCAGTCAGATTCCCGGAGGCACTAGATGAAGTTAGAACTCAAGGGGTTTCCTGTAGGTATGGAATGGGAGATAAAGTGTCAAGAGTGACTATGAGGATTTTGGCCTGGGCAGTTGAGAGGATGGAGTGGCTTTATGGCAGTGAAGAAAGATTGCAGAGGGAAAGGGCAGGAGTTTGGGTCTGGCCCTGTCACATTTGAAATGCCTGTTAGACATGAGGCAGAGATGAGGCCTAGCAGCAGGTAGACGGAGGACATGTAAAGCCACGAGGCTGAATGAGATTGCCGGCGGAGCTGATGGAGCTGGAAGAAAGCTTCTGAAACTGGAGATGGGTAGTATGGACTGGCCAGGGTTCCACTGAAGGATGGATGAGTGACTGGATGCAAGAGGAGAACCTGGGGGCCGCTACCCTGGAAACCAGGGTAAAGTCTGGCTTCAGGAAGGAGAGGGGGACAGTGGGTTAGGGGTACTGCTCATAAAAAACCACTCGGTTTGTAACGTGGAGATCATGGGCCCCATCAGTGCAGGTTCTTTAGAGGGGCCCGGGTAAAAGCCTGGAGACAAGCAGAGACAATTCTTTTTAAGTGATTTCCTGTAACGGGAGCAGAAAGGAAGTGGTAGGTCGAGGCAGATGTGGAGTCAGGGGCGGTGTGCGGTTTTGTTTTTTCCTAAATGGAAGTGATGGCCTGTGAGAATGTTGCAGCACAGAGGAAGCACAGCCAGTGTGAGGGAGCAGGCCACTGAGCTATGCGTTGTGCTGGGTGGGTGGGGGTGGGGGCATGTGGTCCAGAGCACACATGCAGGATGACCTCAGGAGCACAGGCTGCTCCCCTGGAGCAGGGAGGAAGCACCCAGGTGTAGGTCGGGATGTGGTAGGGCTGGGACCTCTTCTGATTGCCTCCTCTGTGTTCTCAGGCAAAGGAAGTGAGATCAGAGCCTGTGGAGGAGGAGGGGCCTTGCTGAGGGTGGAGTGGAGGCATCTTCGGGTGCTTGGGAAGCTGCTGTCCCCACCCTTTTTTTTTTTTTTTTTTTTTTTTAAAAGGCAGAGTCTTGCTCTGTCGCCCAGGCTGGAGTGTAGTGGCACAGTCACAGCTGGCTGCAACCTCCGCCCCTCATGTTCAAGTGTTTCCTGTGCCTCAGCCTCCTGAATAGCTGAGACTACAGGCATGTACCACCATACCTGGTAAATGTTTGTGTTTTTAGTAGAGATGGGGTTTTGCCATATTGGCCAGGCTGGTCTTGAACTCCTGACCTCAGGTGATCCACCTGTCTTGGCCTCCCAAAGTACTGGGACTGTTGGTGTGAGCCACTGCACTCGGCCTTGAGAAGCTTCTTGAATGTTAAGGAGGGAGGGAAGGAGAATAGCCCCAGCCTGTGTGGAGCCAGAACTCTGAGCTTTTTGTGTAATGGCTAACATTATGCATGCTTCTTGAGTTAGGTCATAACACCCAGTCACCTAAAAAAGTGAACAAATTTTAAAGTTGCTCATCTGGACTTTGTCAGAGTTTGGAGAAAACACTCATGCATTTGATTCACAGCCAGGAGTCCGCTGCCTTTCACTGAGTCCTCTATTTGTCAGCAGTTTCCACATTAAGACAGTTGAGTGAGTGCATCTCCCCAACCTACCCTAGCAGCATTCTGCCATTTTATAGTGAAAATAAAGAGGAATGAAAACAGCTGTCATTTTTTAAACACTTATTTACTTTATGCCAGGCCCTCTTCCCAGCCTTTTTTACTCCTCTCCTCCATAAGATAAGGACAATAGTCCTTAATCTTACTAACTTGGAAACTGAGGCCCAGAGAGGTTAAGTAACTTGCCCAAGGTTATACAGCATGTAAGTGGTAGAGGCTGGTTTTGAACTTAGCTACTGTGACTCTAGTTGCTGCACCTGTAACCACTATATCAGCCCACTCCTGGAATAATGGGTACTTTACAGGGGTTTATATTCTGGCATCTTGAAGCCCATGCTATGTAAATTGAGAGAGACTTTACTTCCCAAAGACCCATACATCTGCCAGGTCTGTTTTTTTTCCTTTTCTGTTTTCTTTATACAAAGGCTCATTTCAGGACCTTCTCATACTCTTCTGTCTTTAGGCCTCACATCAGAGCCTGTCAAGTGCTGCAGCTTTCTGGTTCATCACCAGTGGTCTTTTTGTGCCAGGGTCTTGCTGCAGGCAGCACTTGCTTGCCTTGGATGCCCCAGGTGTGTCCTATATGTGTCTCTCCCGCCCCAGTCTTCCCTGGTTTCTTTTGTTGTGCAGCCACGTTTGGCTATTTTGCCATCTCCCTGTCTTGCTCAGCCTTTGAGCTTGCCACTCCTGATGACTGATTGGGGCACTGGGTCCTGGCTATTTAGCAGGGAGGAGTGTAAGAGCAGAGTAATCCTGGGTCAGCTAGAGTGTCATCTGGATAGGCTCAACGTCTCTGTTGTTACTAGTGAAAACAGACACGAGATTGTGGTAGAAGGAGTAAGTGGAGAAAATGGACCTGCTGCCTATTTATGGAGGGTCAGTGGTCTAGTCGTCAGAGGCAAGCATGCTTTAGGGGTCGAGGGGGTGCAGGCATTTCTAAAGCCGTGGGATCTGTAGAAGAGCCTGTGTGGGTCCATCTAGAGCAGGTGTCATGTTCTTAGCTGTGGGCCTGTATCCTACAGGAGAGAGAGCATGGTGAAGACTGACAGTGGACTGACTTTGTGTCTGTGCTAATCTCCAGATACTGGAAGGCTGATGTGGAGAGCACTAGTTTTGTTTTGTTTTGGTTTTGACACAAGGTCTCACTCTTGTCCAGGCTGGAGTGCAACAGTTATAGCTCATGGTAGCCTCAAACTTGTGGGCTCAAGTGATCCTCTAATCTCAGCCTCCTAAATAGCTAGGACTACATTATTTTGGTATACTGCTTCCTGCATTGGCAGCCTAGGCTGATGTCCTCTTCCCTGCTTCATTATAGTAGGATGCTTACTCTCTTAAGATGTGATATAGACTGAAAACAACTTCGTAGTACCATTTGCAACCCATCTAAAGATAAAGGCTGGTCCAGGTCCCTACAGAGTGTCTTAAGTCATTACCAGGTGCTGTGTGCAGTGCAATTTCCTGGAAACCAGTGTGCTCCACAGTTGTCCGCAAGCTATGCTGCTTCCCATGCCAGAGGAGGCTGTAGCCCGACAGCTCGCACCTCCAGCCGCTTTTCTCGCTGATTGTGGAGAAGGCCCGGGCCCTGCGGCATGACCTCCCTGGGCTCCAGAGTACTAGGTGTGCTCTAGTTTCTTCAGGGAAAATGTATTCTTATTAAAGCTTGGTTTAAAAACAATTTTTTAGATAGTAGAAAATTTATTTTAGTCTGGAGGTTGGTTGAACAGAATGAATTGAAATGATTTCCTGATTCCCAGTAAATGATTTTATTGTTCTCACAAAATCTCGGGAAGCCTTTCTGATTTGTGTTTATCTTTATATAATTAAACTGTTAATAAAGATGATGATGTAAGTATCCTGTTCTTCTAGGTATCCAAATATATCTTGTGAGTTGCTCACTTCTGATGTCTCCCAGATGAATGATAGACTGGGAGAAGATGAATCCTTGCTAATGAAATTATATAGCTTCCTCCTAAACGATTCCCCTTTGAACCCACTACTTGCCAGTTTCTTCAGCAAGGTGCTAAGTATTCTTATCAGCAGAAAACCAGAACAGGTAAATATGATTTTCCAAAAGGTAAGTATTAGGCTGATCATCCCCTTGAGGTGATCCCCCAGTCACTGTTGCTTTAGAGTTCTAAGAGAATGTATTTTAAACCTTAAACATTCTAAGCACTCACATACTATTTATACATTGACGAATATTTCTAATATGGTATAATCTCAAATTTCACGTAATTTGTTAGCATACTTTGGTTTCCTCTTTTGACAAGTGGGTAGAAGATGAGAATATTGGGTACCCATTTGTGAAGACAGGGCTTAACTAAGATGGCAAGTGTAATAACTAAGCCATTGAATATGTCAACAAACAATTGCTTTGTTTTGTTTTTCCCCTATTGATGATCACAGATGAAGCTTAAACCAAAAACCTTTCCCACAAATGTAATTGGTGATTGGTTTGTACTACTGGTGATTCTGTTTTGATTCTACTCAAAACTGCTCCAGTGTCAGGCTTGAGACATCTGAGTGTATAGACTGCTGTATACATTTGTAGCTCTGCTGTTCATATCCAGTGTGGTTTGACAAAAACTTCACTTGGTTCTTTAAGTGTGGCCCCTGAAGCAGCAGCACCGCAGTAGAGAATTTTGTTAGAAATGTAAGTTCTTGAGCCCTATTCCACACCTGCTGAATCAGAAACTCTGAGGGGTGGGCCCTACAATCTGGGTAAAAGCAAGCCTTCAGCTAACTCTCATGCATGCTGACATTTGAGAACCTCTGCTTTAGTGGATATTGTTGTGAAAAAGGATCTGCTTATCTGGAGATTTTAGTCATTTTATGGAAATAGGCACCCAGGGAACAACTAGAGCTTCAGATATTCAAGTATAAACTATAGCAGATTTGCCAGAATTGCGACAAGTATGGGTGTGATGATACGGGGTAAAAGTGGTCAAACCAGTTGGTCCTGCCATCCTTCATGATAGAAAATGGCTCTGGGTGACCCATTCTTGCTCTCAGCGCTTGTGGAAGGACTGGAGCTATTTTCGGCCCAGTGTGTCCTGTCCTATGCCAAGGTAAAGTAGATACATGTTTTATTTTAGAAAGAGATACCATTCTTTCTTTCACTTAATGGAGTAGGATAAGCTTCCTAAGTTGATTGGAAATAAGATTCTTTTCACTTTGGTTATAATCCCCAAATCATGATTACTCTAATGTAGATTGTCTGTTTTTTCTGCCTTCTAGTTAGAAATACAAGAACTGCTGGCTGTTTTAGGAGAGTGGAAGCCAACCTGTCACCCTGATATTACCAGGCAGTTCTCAGGGCTGGTTGTTACAGCCATTATCCAGACGTTGTGCTTCATTGTGCTTTTTCTCCTCACTTCTGTGCTGTTGGGACCCAAGTTTGCAAGCCCCGATTTTCAGTGTACACATAAAGAGAGAGAATACACTTAAAACTTTATGGGGCCTTGAGTATTTTGTATTAGACGTCAGAGTCCGACCCGACATTCTATGTGTGTAGAGATGATGGCACCTGCCAGTTACATTCTGGGACAAGAGCCCCTCGGCCTTTTGCTTGTTACACTTCCCTGTCACGACTGTATGAATGATAGCAAGAGGATTCAGTGGCTGTGGGTTAAGATCAAACCTGGCATTTCTCTATCCTTTGCAGATTAGGAGTGTAAATAAAGGTTTTCTGTTATGTGATAGTATTAGTAGGGATCTATGCAACTGTAAGGAAGGACAAAAATTGAGACTCAACTGGCTTAACCAGTAAAGGCGTTTGTTAGCTCATGGAACAGAAAGTCGGGTAGTGGGGCATCTTCAGTGCTGCATGAGTCAGCACCCCAGTGGGGTCATCTGGGCCACAGGTCCCTGTTGTCAGTGCTGTACTGTCCACCACACTAGCTCGGGTTTGTTCCTTTGGGCTTCAGGTCTGGTGTTTCTGGCACTGAATTATGGAATACTTGGTCACATGTGACTTTTTACATCCTTTCTCCTGTCCTTTTAAAAACTATTGTGGGACCCAATTGTGAGTGAATTATTTATGTGTCATGTCATTTCTTGAAGTTTTATGTCATAATGCTTGACTTCATTGTCTAGAGAAGCAACGTGTGTTGGTTAATCCTGTATTTATACTTAATTGTATGAAGCAGTTTTAGTTGTCATCTCTGGCTATTAGACTTCATATGACCTAATGGAAAGATTGTGGCTTTTGTGGCATACAAATCCAAGTTTAAATCCCAGGCAGCCACCTTTTTGCTCTGGAAGATACTTTCTGAGCCTTGGTTTCCTCATTTCTAATGGGGTGTGGGGGTGGGAGTGAGTTATTCAACCCCCCCCCACGTCCCAGGGCTTTTGAGAAATTTCAGTGAGATCCTGTTATAGCAGCTGCCACACTCCCCCTGGGACTCGCAGAGGGTTTGGGAATAGATGACACGTGCACATGAACAGAGGCAGAGGCACCGAGGCTGCATGGGACACGGGGATGTGTGGGACAGAGTCATCTCCCTGGTCTCCCAGAGCAGAAGAGGCCAGCAACAGGGGCCTGATTTCCATGGCTATTCTCACGTTCCTTCAGGGCAGCTCTCTGCCTCTCCACCAGCTGCCCTTCTTGTGCTAAGCTATTGGAGTGAATTGGTGAAGTCAAAATCCAAGGCGATGTTTGTGTAGCCAGGTGAGTTAGTTACTTTGACTGGAGTAGAAATGTTTGTTTGGAAATTTTTTTCTCATACTTGTTAAGGTCCAATTAGGATTTTGAATATTATTCATTTTGGTGCAGAATCTTAACAGACTTGCTTTATGTTCATAAACTGTAAAATGGTATATTCTCTTGCTCTTTATAGGGATATTAAATTTTTGATCCCCATTCTTTGAGAATGAATAATGGAAGTGAATAGAAATAAAAGATTCTGTTAAGTTGTATTTGTATTAATGGACATGTGCTAATTTAGGGGTTTTTTTTCCAAGGGGTTTTTGAGTATTGTAACTATCAGCCAGGCTTTCCAATTTGATATCTTGTTGCTAATTCAGGATTTGCCATTTCTCAACCTAAAGTAGTGATGAAATTGGGAGGAGTAGGGGTTGGGACTTAAAAGGTAAAGTTTATAGTTTCCAAGTTACATGTCTTTCAGTTTCTGATCTGTTCTTCTCTAGATTGTGGATTTCTTAAAGAAGAAGCATGATTTTGTAGACCTTATTATAAAGCACATAGGAACTTCTGCTATCATGGATTTGTTGCTCAGGCTCCTGACATGTATTGAACCTCCACAGCCCAGGCAAGATGTACTGAATGTGAGTAGAATTCTGACCTGCTGTTGACTGGGGTTCGGGTGCTGGCATGTGAAGCCCACCAGGCTGCTGTGTGCTGGGAGGGATTGCATGGGATTAGGGTACTTGGTAGCAGAGAGTTGTCTGGGGAGCAGGTAACAGGGTGGGGGAGAAAGGTGGTTCCAAGATAGGAAGAGATCCAGATTTTGCAGAGCTAGAATTTCAGATGGGCATATCCGTAGGTGTGTGGAATATTTTGTTGTGAGTGTTTTTTCCTTTTTGCTGGTTTGCTTTTTATGGGGGTGGCGAGACATTATGGGTTGAGCATTTGTCTTAAATCTGGGCCTGATGGTAAAAGCAGAAATGAGAGGGTTGGGAGCTCGAAGTCCCATATGAGTATGTTGTGAGGCCACACTCTTCAGGGCCACCTCTGAAGGTCAAAACGGAGAGGTGTTGATAACATCCAGTGATTCAGGCTTCAGAAGTAATTCTCTTCTCATGGGTACCTAGGAACAAAGGATAAGGAGAACAGAGTTTACTTTGAGAAGGACATATTTTAAAATGTAGACAAATGGTGATTTTTAGGATGTGTGCCTCCTGAATAGATGTCTTAGGTGGAATTTGGGTGGGAAGGAGGGGAGGGTGTGAGTAACTTGAAAATAAGGTTTCTCCCAGGCTCCCATCTCTGCCTTCTCTTCTTGTCTTTTGTGTCTTCTCCTCTTCCTTTCTTTTTTGAGTTGGAAGTCTCACTCTGTCACCCAGGCTGGAGTGCAGTGGCATGATCTCGGCTCACTGCAACCTCCGCCTCCCAGGTTCAAGCAGTTCTCCTGTTTCAGTCTCCTGAGTAGCTGGGATTACAGGTGTCTGCCACCACACCTGGCTAATTTTTGTATTTTTAGTAGAGACAGGGTTTCACCATGTTGGCCAGGCTGGTCTCCAACTCCTGACCTCAGGTGATCCGCCCTCCTCGGCCTCCCAAAGTGCTGGAATTACAGGTGTGAGCCACCGCGCCTGGTCCCTCTCCCTTTCTTTCCTTTCTCGGAAGCTTTGCGAACCATGCTTCAGTCTATCTGTCTTTAATACTAACCTGCAACCTTAGAACTTAACTCATTTCTTTGGAAATGAGTTTTGTTGAAAATGCTAGTTATTATTTAAGACCTCAAGGACTAGAAGGAGGGCCTATGAGGAGGAAGGTCTTTCAGGTGGTGCCCAGGGCAGGGCATGTTCCACTGAGGTAGGGAGGTGTGCCAGGTGTGCATTTATGTGATGGGGTCAGGGCTGGGTTTGTTGGTGACCCAGGCACTGTGATCACTGTGAGTAAACAGCTGGGTGTATCTAGTGGATGTCCTGGGACTTGTCTCTTGGCAGGGACCTTAAATTGGGACACCTGTCCTTTTGGGTGTGTCTTTGTAGATGTATCTTTTCTCAAAAGAGGTTGAGGATTCTGGGAAAGACTGTTAAGGATAGGGAGGAGGGTGTCACCTTTATATTGGGATTATCGTAGGGAGAGATTTATTCAGGATGGTTTGCAGGAACCAGTTTATTCCTTTGGTTGCTTCTGGGTTGAAGTTTAGGACCTGTCTGGTTTCCAAAGGAATCAGTGTGTTTGTGGAGAGAGCGAGCGACAGGAGGTTGATAAAGGTGTAGGTCGGGGAAAGGTTAGTTAGAAACCCCTGAATGTCTTATTTTGATTTTGTGGATCCATGGTTGAGGATGACTACAGAAGTGGGCTTGGAATGTAGGTTCCTATGAATAGCTGTGGAAACAGTAGGGGTCTGGGACTGATGAGTTCACTGCCTGGAAAGTTTCCTGGTTTCTCCTGTAGTGGTCAGGAATGCCCCGCCCCTCACACAGATGTTTACTCTCCTCTGTTTCAGGACATTATTGCTCAAAGAGTGGTCCCAGACATCATTTGTGAGCTTGTTAGAAATCTGTAGTCTCAGGTCTCTTCCTTGGCCTTCTGAATCAGAATATGCATTTTAACAAGATTCTTGGAGAATTTGTGTGCACATTTTAAAACAGATCTTAAAATATAAAGTTGGACCTCTACCTCTGTGGTGCCTACCTAATAGCTTCACATTTTCCTTTAATTGGTGTTTTCATTGAGCAGCCAGAGACAGTGTCAGGGTTTCTTCTCTGTTCCTTAAGCAAATTGTGTTTGATTTCTGCCCCTGCTGCCCGCCCTAGTCTCCTTTAGCCGTATTTTCTAGGTAGTGAGCTGCCTTGTTGATGATGGTTTTCGGCTTCTTATGGCATGAATGTTAAGCCAGATGATTTTTCCTTTATTTTTTTCTGAATTTGGATCCCTTTCATGTTTTCATTCACTGTAGCATTTCATACATGGATTAAAAGGAGATGGCCATAGCTCTTTGCCAGCACATGACAGGGCGGATAAACTCTACCTCTGTGCTTCCTCAGGCCCCCACGTTTTCTGCAGTGGGTTTGGTTTTGTAATCTAAAAGTCCCTTTTGTTCATCCTGTGTTTTTCTTAACCCAGAGACTTGGTGCTAAATATTGCTCTTTTCAATCTTTCTGAAGCTTGGAGTGAACATGCTCTTAAAGAAAATGTATAAATTCCATCCTTCTTAATCTCCCAGTCCTCTCTTAAGAACCAACCTACAAACCCTTTTAGTCCTAAATGTTTGGGAGTGACCTTATGGCTAAGAAGCTGATGTATAGAATTTTAGTGTGTGGGTATTGTAATTTGGGGAGTTTTTGGTACTGTTGGCCATTGTTAAAACAATATATTCACTGGCATTTTCCTTGGGGGACTTTTAATTTTCTGTAGTGTTCAAAGTCCAGAGAAACCTGTAACATTCTACTTAAAATGTGATGGATATTTCCAAGTATGTTAATCTACATTGGGGCTTGAACAAGAGCCACTCATTGCTATGATTACTTCTACAATGTGTTTTACAGTGGTTAAATGAGGAGAAAATTATCCAGAGGCTTGTGGAAATAGTTCATCCATCGCAAGAAGAAGATGTAAGTTCACTTGTGTGACTGTAAACTTGATTAGAAAAAAAAAGAACTGTTTATTGAGCACAGAGCATACTTACATTAAATGTGAACATGACCAGAGCGTAGAGGGAACGTAGCAATCTATTGTTCTTAAAGTTGATACTTTTCTAAACTGTATTACATTTTGCCAATACCCAGAAAATTTCCAGAAATGTACAACAGCAGGCCCTTGTTACAGCACCATCTCCTTTCTAGAACCGGGATTTCATGCCGAACCAGCTGGCTTTTGTTACAAACCTCCTTTGTTCATGCTCCTTTTTACTTTTTTTTTTTCCCCCTTTGAGATGGAGTCTCACTCTGTCACCCAGGCTGGAATGCGGTGGCGCGATCTCGGCTCACTGCAACCTCCACCTCCCAGGTTCAAGCAGTTCTCTGCCTCAGCTTCCCGAGTAGCTGGGATTACAAGTGCCTGTCACCACGCCCGGCTAATTTTTGTATTTTTAGTAGAGACCGGGGTTTCATCATCTTGTGCAGGCTGGTCTTGAACTCCTGACCTTGTGATCCACCAGCCTTGGCCTCCCAAAGTGCTGGGATTACAGCCATGAGCCACTGCGCCTGGCCTCCTTTTTATTTTTATACCCATCTGTAGCAGTTGATGTGACCACATTTGCATTTGTTTTATCCAGTCTGGTTACAGCTTTGCAAGCAGTGAAGTGGGATGTTGGTCACCATTGAACCCCTACAGTAACTTTGTTGTTATACGTCCTGGCCCTGGCTGTTAAGTTTGACAGGTTTGGCTTTTGTCCTAGGTACTGTAGGTTGACTTGGCTATAGGATTGAAACTAGATTTGGAGTTTGCAGATTGAACTCTGTGCTGAGGGAATGCCCGTTGGGACCAGTGGGTGCATGTGTCTCTAGAAGAGATCTGTAAGGTTACCACCTGAAGTATCAGGCCAAGCCATATAAAATTGACAGTAATAATCCATTTTTACCTACAGACATGACAGTTCTCTATGATTCAACCTAATATCTACAAAGGAGTTGGTTTAAGGACAATTCAAGGTTTGTCCTGAAGCTGGGAGAGCCTCCTTGTGTGCCTCTAGGTTGCAGGTTAGATGGGGGAGCGAGTACCGCAGAGGAACATTGGAGGAAGAGGCACACAGTGGAGGCTCCTCTCTCACAAAGATACATTTTGTGTGATAGTAGATGGAAACCCTTTCACTCTGATCCATTCAGAAACTTTTGATACCTGGACTTTATTAAAGGGGCTGTCACTTCCCCATTATCCCTCTTTGGGAGAATGCAAGGTATGCTCCCTTGCAGTAGTTGTTACTGTTAGCAGAGTTGACATTTGTGGACACATCCAGTGTAGACATGGATTGGGAATATGGGAGCCCCTGCTTAGAAGGTGCTCTCAACCTAGCTGGGGTGAGAAGCCCTCCTCCTGTGGGCAGGGGAGTGTGGTTCTAGGAGCGGGTTTCCCTGTGATGACATGTGGCCTGTGCATGCCGTGGAGAGCCATGACAGGAGTGTGGCCTGCCCTGTTGGGAGGGAGGAGTTTCTTACTCCTTACTAGGTTCATGTTCTTGAGAGAGGAACTTGATTGCTTAATGGGCTAAGAAGAAGATTGCTCAGTAGGGCCTGTCCGAAGGGCCCAGGAGAAATCAATAATGGAGAAGTCCAATTCTGCAACAAATTTTTTGAGAAGGACACCGCATTGTGGACATCAGCACCTTCTCTACATGACTTACAAGAAAGTTAATTTTGGCTTTTGGACAGTCCCGTTAATACTTCTGTTTTGTATTAAGTGATGAATTCCATGTTAAAATTATACTGGCCAGTTGATACTTACCAAGGAAATGCTAGGCTCCTGATTCCAGTCAGTGGGTTTGGATATCCTAATCTGTGCTCTCCTCTCTTCTAGAATATGAGTGTTCTGCCCGTATTGGGAGCACATTGCTCAGTCTTTGAGTTATGCTCAGTTTCTTATTCCAGAGAATAAAATGTGTTTGGGTGCTGAGATTTTAGAGCTTTTCTGTAAGGTCAATACACTGAGAGAAGGCTTAATATTTCTTACCCTTTGGTATTCTACAGAAAGCTGTATTTGCTTTTACTTTTTTTTTTGAGACGGAGTTTCACTCTTGTTGCCCAGGCTGGAGTGCAATGGCGGCATCTCGGCTCACCGCCATCTCCGCCTCCCGGGTTCAAGTGATTTAATCTCCTGCCTAAACCTCCCGAGTAGCTGGGATTACAGGTATGCGCCACCACGCCCAGCTAATTTTGTATTTTTAGTAGAGACGGGTTTTCTCCTTGTTGGTCAGGCTGGTCTTGAACTCCTGACCTCAGGTGATCCGCCTACCTCAGCCTCCCAAAGTGCTGGGATTACGGGCGTGAGCCATCGTGCCCAGACGTACTTTTACTTTTTTTTTAATCCAAAAAAAGTATGTGCATCCTTCTGTGCTGATAAGAGTGTATTTTGGGGATACACATTGAGTATCCCTTATCTGAAATGCTTGGAACCGAAGATATTTTGGATTTCAGTTTTTTTTCAGATTTTGGAATACCTTTATTTGCATTATACTGGTTGGACATCCTGGACCTAGAAATCTGAAATGTTCCAATGAGTATTTCCTTTGTCAGTTTTCAAATTTTGGAGCATTTTGGATTTGGGATGCTCAATCTGTGTATTTTTTCCCAACTATTTTAGAAATTTTTACTCATCAGAACCTTGATGACATCTCCCTGCACATAGTAATAATGTACTGTGCACTATTATAAAGCTCATTTGAATGCCTGACAAAATACATTACTCGTGATGTGATCTCTCTTGGCCTTGACCTTTTGCTCACTGAAGCTTATGGCCAGTGTTAATTTGTGTTATTTCTTAAATAACTTTCCCTTTCATTTTTAAATGATAAATTTACTTCTAACATGTTTTATGGTTAAAATTGTACTTTTTTCCTTTAGCGACATTCAAATGCATCACAATCACTTTGTGAAATTGTTCGCCTGAGCAGAGACCAGATGTTACAAATTCAGAACAGTACAGAGCCCGACCCCCTGCTTGCCACTCTAGAAAAGTATGTGTAAAACTCTGTTCTTGTTCTTCTTTCATATTGATGCTGTTCCATGTGTTACCATTGTGAGTGATTGGTAAGTGTTCCTTATGTGGGAATCATGTCCCTTGAAAATAACCTTGGGTGGATGAGAAGGTAGGGAATTCTGCCTCTTTTATCTCAGTAGAAGTTTGGCAGGATAAGAAGATAAATGACATTTATATCTAGACTTTGAGTTTTCCAATTATTTGTAAAATGGAATTCTGTAGAGCCATCCTAAGATGTGGTAGTCATTTAGAAATAACTGTCATCACAACTTCCAAGGGTCTTTTGATGAAGAATAGTCTTGTGTAAGTACGAATATCAGCGGCTTTTATCAGATGATCTTTAAGGCTTTATTGTATCTTTGCAGCTGATTAGGGACAGTTATTTCATGTTTAGGTAGAAGACAACTTGGGGATGGGATGCTATTTTTTCTAGATTCACATGTTTTCAGAAAGAATGTTTACTGTCGACTTCGCATGTATTTGACCTGCATTCAGACAGCTGAAAGTTATTTTAATAATCAGGCCATTCCTCACTATGGAAGAATACTTGGAAAGTATGCATACAGCTAGCATTGTTAAGTACTAATGGCAATCTTGCTTCGGTTTACTTCTATTATTGTTTTTAATGCTTTTGTCAGTCCTTTTTATTCCTGCTATATATTGAGACTTTTGCATCTTTGGCTTAACTACCTGTAATGCCCTTTTATTAAAATAAAATGTTGTATTATTTCCTTGACACATGTAAGACAGGCAAGGAATACATTACAGAGAAGTTAACGTGTTTTCAACTCTGTCTTTGCGAAGTGGAGTTGTGTTTTCCTAGCATGTAGAGTACGACGGAGTTGAGTTCTCTGAAGTAGCAAAACTACAAAAGATTGCCGGCTTCCGAGTAAAATGGTATCTTACCTGTCCTATTTTAGTAATTCTTGCACTGTGGCATATATAGTCCTTTAAAACTTTTAAGACATCCCACATTCAAATACTAATTGTGGTATTAATTAGGTTGAACCTTGTAAAATTGCCATTTCAGTAGGTTAGAAATGTTGAATATCAGCAGTGTCATATGGCTCACTGCAGTGCTGCCCAGTAGAAATAGAATCAAAGCCACATGTAATTTAAAATGTTTTTGTCCAAAGTCTTGGAAATCCAGTGTGTATTTTACACTTAGAACTTGCTGGTCAGACGAGTTAAATTTTGGGTGCTTGATAGCCACATGTAGTGAATGACTCCCATAGTAGACAGTGCAGGTTCTGCCCGAATATCAGACTGCTTAGTAGTGATTGCTAAGTTCTTCAGTGCCGCTCCAAGCCCTCCATCCACGCAACTTTATTTGGACCCAATATGTAACCTAGCCACCAGAGCCCATGTGCACACTAGCTTTTATATTTCAAGCTGTGTTTTAGTCCTAGATCAGGTAACTAATTTCTGGGATGAAGATAGGTAAATACCTAGAGTTTATATCATTAAATTAGTTGGAGTAACTGTATTCAAATACATGGACCTGATGAATCAGTGGCCCTGTTGCCAAATAAAACCTCCATTGCATTTAATGGTGGCAAGAAAATCTGTCATAGTGCTTCCCACAGTCTGTTTGAGAATGAGAACCCACCGCTTCTAATATTTGACACATTGCATATCTTTTAGTGTCTGTTGATTCAGACGATACACACTGAGAAAAGATTTCTATTTTAGTAAACTTATTAATCATAATAGCATCTGTGTATATTTAATCTATTATGTGATAATATGTAATATCTATTTGATAAATTATCATTATTTAACAATGATATTACATTATTAAATCACTGTACTGGCAATACATAATGTACACATAGCTTGCTGAGCTCTGTATTATGATGCCAAGTAACCCACAGTGTGAACTCCACTGTATATAGGAATGTCACATGTGTAAATGTTAAGTGCAGATTAGCACATCTGGAAAAATTTGAAATGAGGTAAGATTAAAGAAGATACTAAAGAGTGGTAGTGGTACCAAGAAATCTCAGAAAACAGACTGAAGTGTTAAATAAACAATGTTTGGCTTGGGAAGCAATCTGGGCCTAAATTGAATGCATTTTATTTAGTGACTCTGGAAATTTTTGAAGTTCAAAAATTTTTAAAAAACAGTTTTGTTAGAATAGACTGTCTGAATTCTTTTTTTTTTTTTTTTTTTTGAGACGGAGTCTCGCTCTGTCGCCCAGGCTGGAGTGCAGTGGCCGGATCTCAGCTCACTGCAAGCTCCGCCTCCCGGGTTTACGCCATTCTTCTGCCTCAGCCTCCCGAGTAGCTGAGACTACAGGTGCCCGCCACCTCGCCCAGCTAGTTTTTTGTATTTTTTAGTAGAGACGGGGTTTCACTGGGTTAGCCAGGATGGTCTCGATCTCCTGACCTCGTGATCCGCCCGACTCGGCCTCCCAAAGTGCTGGGATTACAGGCTTGAGCCACCACGCCCGGCCCAGACTCTGTCTGAATTCTTGATACTAATGACCTTAGAACAAGTTGGGTTTGATCCCATTCATTTGAGCCAATTGGTTTTTTATAAGTGAATTTTTCCTGTGGCCATTCACATTTAAAAAAAAAAAATGAGCCATCGTCCCAAAGGCATGGATAAAGAACCTGGATGGCTTCATGCAGGAAACAGCTCATATCATAAGTTTTAGTGATGTCTATCCAGAAACTGCTTTTTTTAAAAACGTGAAAGTGAATATATTTTCTCACATGTAATTAAATACCTTTTTATTGAAAGAATGTGAAGGCGTTCCTTTTATTTTGTTTGATAAGCTTCAGTCCTTCGGTTTACTATTTCTTCTGGGTTTGCTGATATTTGTGTGTTCAGGTAAAACTCAGAATGTGGCGCAGCTATTGTGGTATTGTATTTTGACTGTCAAGTTTTCGCTGGTTATTATGTTTTTCTTGTCCATTAGTAGAATTCTTTCATGGATACGATAGACTTCCAATTTGATACAACAGTGAAATGGCTAGGGCCTCTCTTAGCTATTCCCTTCAGGCATCTGTGTTGACAAAAGTGACAGTGCCTGCTGATGAGTAGGAGTGCTATGACTGAATGAAGAGAGTGTGGACTTCCACAATCGCATGCTGTCAGTACCCCTCCACATGTGGTGAGGCTGCTGTTGAAGAAAAACATATTTATTGTTAAAGTTTGTTTTCCAGAGCTCGGTTCCATACCGAACAGTTAGTGTATAGGCTGCTGTGTGTGATGTGACTTTTATAGTACTGTTTTGGTGAGAGGTCTCACAAGCAATTTAATGCTGGTTTGGGAGTACTTGAAAAACCTCCTCCTGCAAGGGGACCCTCTCAAGTTAGGTTAGATAACTAGTTTTGTTTCCCCAAAATAGAGATTCTCTCCTACTTGCTGCCCTATGTTGGCAAGAGGCGGTCAAGGAACTGGTGTACAGTACACTGAACACAACTATACCTTGGGATGAGGTGTCAGGTGAGCAACCAAGGACAACCCAGCTGCCTGTCACACTGTAAGGGAGATTCGAGACTCCATTTCTTTTTCTTTTTTTGCAATGGAGTCTCGCTTTGTCATCCAAGCTAGAGTGCAGTGGTGTGATCTCGGCTCACCGCAAACTCTGCCTCCTGGGTTCAAGCGATTCTCCTGCCTCAGCCTCCTGAGTAGCTGGGATGACAGGCGTGCACCACCATGCCCGGCTGATTTTTGTATTTTTAGTAGAAAAAGGGTTTCACCATGTTGGTCAGGGTGGTCTTGAACTCCTGACCTTGTGATCTGCCTGCCTCGGGCTCCCAAAGTGCTGGGATTACAGGCGTGCGCCACTGCACCTCGCCTCCATTTCTTAATTCACGTGAATTTTGAAAATTACTGAGAGGCTAAGAGACTAAGGTTTTCCTTGAGAATATAAATTCAATGAACTGGTTTATGTTAATTGTGATCTTATGATGTATATGAGAGAAGTGTAATGGAAAGAGCCTGCAGATAATGCTTTTTGGACACTTAATTTAGTCATATTTATTTCGTTGCTGCCATTTTATTTTGCTTTTTCAAATTTTATTTGTAGAGTAAAATGCAGCAACTGATGTTTTCTTTTTTCTGTTTCAGATCTTTGCTAATTACACATTTATGCCTTTGTGGGAAAACGTTCATGAACATTCATGGGTTCTAATAGCCTTTCTGAATGTTTTCCCTTCTTTAGTGAGGGTGAAAGTTTCTATGTCTTCTTGCCACCCCCAGCCCCAGTCATCATCATCATCATCATCATCATCATCATCATCAGAGTCTTGGTTTGAGTAGGAGGTGACTTTGTCTTGAAATTCTGTTGGCTCTCAACAAAATTGGCAAAGACAAGCATGGCCCAGGTTATTTTGCTGAGGGAAAGAGATAGGAGGGTGAGTGAGTGTGTTTGTGTGCGCGTGCATGTGTGTAAATTATAAATAGGATCAATTGCCTACTTTAATAAGTATATAGAAATAAAATAGTAAAACAAATATGCCCAAGTGTGATTGAACTCTTCAGTGACGCTTGTCTTGTGCCGTCGTTTTTTTTTCTGAAGTTGTTGGTGATAAGTGATACTGCAGTTAGTGATTATTGATTTGTTTCCCTAGGCAAGAAATTATAGAGCAGCTTCTATCAAATATTTTCCACAAGGAGAAAAATGAATCAGCCATAGTCAGTGCAATCCAGATATTGCTGACTTTACTTGAGACACGGCGACCAACGTAAGCTTTTCTTATGTCTTACAAAATGAACCATATTGTTTTGCTTTCAGATTTTTTTAAAGTTAAGAGTTAAATTCTTGGTGGATAAGCTGTCATAGAGTACCTTTGAATTGCAGTTGCTGATTCTCCTCCTACTATATGAACCATAGCCAAGTTTTATATGAATACCACATATAGGGATGCAGTTGAAAACTGTGGTTTGGTGACACTATTTATTGGCAGCATTTAGACTAGTCATTTTTTTTTTTTTTGTAGTAGTAGTTAGGAAAATGCTATTATAATAAATGCTATAATCAAAAATGTATGATGGCTCAGAAACAGAGAAGCTTATTTCTTGCTCATGATAATTGAAAATAGGTGTTCCTGGTCAGTGGGTAGCTCTCCTGGTCATTGAGAAAGTCTTTCTATCTTGTGATTCCTTTCATTCCTTTTTACAGATACTTAGACCTTCAGGTGGTGTTTTCCTGGGTTTCACATTTGATGGCACTGCAGTTGAGGCTGTCTTAAAATGCATGGGCAAGTGGCTTGAGCCTTTAAGGACGAATTTCTGCTACGTGTTTTATAATCAGAAATAAAGCCTGCTTTTCCCATGTGTGGCCTTCCGCCCCTAGACCAGCCATTTAATGTGTGTCGTGTTATTCTTTATAGTTTATGTCCAGTGCAGATTTACTTATTATCAGAGTTTTCTAACTGCTCTTAGAGCATGAGAATCGTAAGTTTTCCAGGATTGTGTGATATAGAGATTGGAATTTGTATTTTTTACCCCAGTATTCATTCATTAAACAAGGGACAGAGTCCATCCTTAGCATATGAAACTTCAGCCATTCAAGGTTTCTGTATTTACTTTTGATGGTGTAATTTAGGTTTCTAGCAAAATAGTGAAGACAACCTTACCAACCAACCCCTGCTTCCCCAATTCCTGATCTCTGTTGCTGCTTTGCCTAATCTTTGGTCAATACTAATGGAAGGGCAATGTGGTGGCACTGCTTCAAGTATGTTGTAGTTTGGGGGTTGTTTGCCTACCTGTGTCTTTCTAGGAAAATCAGTGCCCTCTTCCTACTCCAGCGGTACAGTACCCTCTTCCTACTCCAGCGGTACAGTACCCTCTTCCTACTCCAGCGGTACAGTACCCTCTTCCTACCCCAGCGGTACAGTACCCTCTTCCTACCCCAGGGGTACAGTACTCTCTTGCTACTCAGGCTACAGGGCCATCACATCATCTCTTAAAAGTGGTTTAAAAACTCATTTGGTGGTGCTGTGAGGTTCATACTACTTGAGAAATAAATGAGGGAAAAACAGCATAAAGTTTTGCGTGTGGAAGTGAAAAACATAAATGTACAACTTAAAGAGCAAACAAAGTTAACAGTAATATAAGAAACAATAAAGGGAAATTTCTGACCAGAAGGAACTTGTCCTAAAACCAGAAAAGGTTTACCAAATACCACGCAATGCAAGATTGAAGTTTTAAAATAGGACTCAGGGCCAGGCGTGGTGACTCACACCTGTAATCCGGGCATTTTGGGAGGCTAAGGCGGGCAGATCACTTAAGGCCAGGAGTTCGAGACCAGTCTGGCCAATATGGTGAAACCCTGTCTCTATTAAAAATACAAAAATTAGCTGGGCGTGGTGGCGTGTGCCTGTAATTCCAGCTACTCGGGAGGCTGAGGCAGGAGAATCACTTGAACCTGGAAAGCGGAGGTTGCAGTGAGCCGAGATCATGCTATTGCACTCCAGCCTGGGCAACAGAGTGAGACTCTGTCACATATAAAAGAAATAAAATAGGACTCAGATCTTAGCTCTATACTGATAAGATTTCTGAATTCTGAGGATAAAGAATAAATCTTAGAAGTATCTGTATAAGAAAAAATGGGCTACCTGTGAAGCCAGTCAGATTGCCAGATGTCTCCTTTATGAAGCTAAATAAATACTGAACAACAGAGTGCAGGATTCTGAGGCTGAAACATTTCTGTTGGTATGTGAGGGCAAACACTCAGTGTTTCATCTGTGTACTGTTGATGAGATGAAATTACTTGAAGATAGACTTTATTAAAGCCAACCAGAAAAATAAGAATGAAGAACTAAGGGAACATATTGGTAAATTATGATCAAGAAATGGGTAGGGATGTGACAGTATTATTATGAAGTTTAAATGTTAAGAATAAATAATCGAAATAAGTCAAATATTTAAAAATGGAAGGAGTTCCAGATTATTTTAACAAAATTCAAGAAATGAGGAGAAAAGTGTCAATTAGTACATATTGCAGTTCTTATACTGGGGCAGTTGAGGTACATGCTTATACATGGTATCTTCATCTCAGTAAAATTATAGTTCAGGTATGGTTTTAAATAAATGTAGTAGAATAACAATAGGTCATGTAACTTCCAAAGCATCTTAAAGGTCAAAGAGTAAGGAAACTCTGACAATCCCAGACACAAGGGACCCTGGCAGTCCAAGACACACACTTGCAAGCCCTTCTGGACAAGAAATACTAACGGCAGGGCAGAGACCAGAGAAAGCTTTCATTGTAGTTTAGGCCTGAGGAATGGAGGAGCAGCCTTGGGAGAAATACACACTACACCTCCAGGATCCTTCTCTATTCTTGCCCCTACTGAACAAAACTCTTAAGCCACTGAGAACAGGTTAGCAATAAAAGCCCTCTGTCCCCTGGTAGAAGTGGGAATACGTTCTGGATCCACACCATTAGAGAATCCCGTACCACGAGGGTAAGGGCAGGATCACTGAGAAGGCCCCAACCCTAGACCCGGGTACACTTCAACTGCCTAAGACTGAGGTTGAACAAAGCAGAGCATTCCTGCATCCTTTCCTTCTCCACCAGGCCTCTCGTGATCCAGTAACAACACTGCTGTGGAGGAAAGGCTGGCGTCGGGGAGGAGCCTTTTGTAAGTCACAGGAGCAAGTTTAAAGAGAGGACCTCAGCTGATGGGCAGAGCAGACAGTGAGAGACACCTGGCAAACTGGCCTTAGCCGTAAACACCAAGTAACTTGAGACAGACTTGAAGTTCTTAGTGCACCTTGAGAAATCATAGTAACAACAAAGCCCAAACCTAGCTCTGCAGATGACTAGATTGATTCAAATCCCCACACGTAAGACCTAGAAAAGAGAAATGTTTATTCTTATATAAATGCTATTTACATCAGTTTTTATGTAAGATGTCTGTCTATCAACCAAAAATTACAAGAAACAAGATAAAAACGCCAACAAACTGTCAAGGGAAAAAGCAATCAGTAGAACTAGATTCAAAAATGTTGGAACTGTCAGATAATTTAAATGTAAATATGACTATGTTAAAGACTTGTGGGAAAAGTGGAAAATATATGAATAGATGAAGAATATTAGCAGAGAGATGTAAGAGCCTATGGAAATGCTAGAAGTGAAAAACAGCAGAAATGAAGAATGCCTTTGGGCTTAGTTGACATAGTTGGGAAGAGAATCATCATAGGACCTTAGAAAGTATCCATACTGAAGTATGAAGAGTTAAACAAAAAAGATACTTGTGAGCCGAGAAGTCCCAGCAATAATGACGTGCCTCCAGGAGCAAATGCAAGTGCCCAGAATCTTGGTTTCTATTACTGTTCTCCAATAAAAGGAACCAGAGCTCCTCAGAGAATTGGCTGGTTCTGTGACCAGGGCAAGAAACATGTAAGTCTGAAACAACTTACAGTACCAGAAAATAAGGAAATCCTCAAAATTAAAAAAAAAAAAAATGAAAACCCCCAAATGATGGCAGCTGTCATTGGGACATTGGAACCAACTAAATAGAGTTCACAATAGTCAAAGCCAGAATAAGTTGTGTAATAAACTCATTTTGTGTTAAAGCCCAAATTATAAAATACATATATAAATGGGTAAAAGGAGACAGATCTCCCATGTAGAAGAATTCCAAATAGGTTACGTAGGTACTTCATCTTCAAGGAGGTAGAATAGCACTCTCTATTCCTAAGTGTGGACTGTGCATAATTCCTTCTAAAGAGTACAGTATGGGAAAAAGAGAATTGAAAATGTAACTTCACAGTGGAAAAACCTGGCAAACACTACCTCAGCCAGATATTCAGTTAATTGCTAGAGTCAAGCTCATTGGTTCACGCCTGAAACTCCAGCAGTTTGGGTAACTGAGGTGAGAGGATCGCTTAATCCTGGAAAAGCTGCAGTAAGCTGTGGTTACTACGCTGCATGCAGCCTGGATGACAGAGGGAAACCCTGTCCCAGAAGAAAAGCCAATAGCCAATGTTTTGTTGACAGCATATACTCTTGATATGATGTATTAAAGATCACACTTTAGCCATGTAATCTTTCTCTCAAAACACCATAACCATAAGAAAAACTCCAGAATGTTCCAGTCAAGGGACATTCTGCAAAATACCTGACCATTACTCAAAACTGTGAAGGTAGGTAAAAACAAAGTCTGTTACAGCCAAGAAGAGGCTTAGGAGACTTGAAAACTAAATATAAACTAAATATAATGGGTATCGTGGATGGGAATCTGGAACAGAGAAAAGACATTAGGTTAAAAACTAAGGATAGCTACATAAAGTATGTATTTCATGTATCGATACTGGTTCATTAATTGTGACATGTACAATACTAATGTGTTAATAGGGGAAAGAAACTGTGTGGCTTCTATGGGAACTCTGTACCATCGTTTTTTGTGTATTTATAAAATTATTCTGTAGAAGTCGACAGAACATTTAGAAGGTCATTAAAAATGCAGAAGACTTAACGCTGGCAATCAGCTTGACCTAATTGAGACTTGTAGAACACTCCCCTAGCAGCAGAGAATGCACATTCTTTTCAGGTGTACATGAAGCTTACCAAGTGTCTTAGCTCAGGCTGCTATAAAAAACTGCCATAGACTAGGTGACTTTAAACATCATTTATTTCTTACAGTTCTGGAGACTGAGAAGTCCAACATCAAGGCACTGGCAGATCCAGTGTCTGGTGAAGGCTTCCCTCCTGGTTTTCAGACAGCTACTACCTTAATATGGCTTCACGTGGCAGAGAGATTGGAAGCAAATTCTGTTTCTTCTGATAAGGATACTTACTCCATTTAGAGGGCTCTACCCTCATGACCTAATTACCTCCTGAGGGCCCCATTTCCTAATATCATCTTATTGGGAGTTAGAATTTCAACATAGGAATTTGAGGAGACAGACAATTTGCTGATAATGAGACCAGTTTCTCATAATAAAACAAATTTAATAAATTTAAAATAATAAGAATCATGTAACATTTGTATTTATACTTTGTTTAAAGTAGAAATCAATAAGAAAGATTTCTGAAATAGCCTCAAATACTTGAAAATTAACACACTGCTAAATAATCCAAGTGTCATAGAGGAAATGACAAGGAAAATGAGAGAAAATATTTTGAGCTAATTGATAATGGAAATAGGACTTGTCAGAATTTGTGGAATGCAGTTAAAGCAGTAGAAGGAAATTTATAACATTAAGTGGTTATGTTAGAAAAGAAGAAAGAGTGTGTATCAATGATCTAAGCTCCTGCCTTACAAATTAAAGGTAAAGGCAGGGCAAATCCAAGGCAAGCAGAAGGAAAGAAATAATAAAATTCAGAGCAGAAGTCAGTAGACTGGTGAGAAAAATAATACAGAAAATCAGTGAAACCGAAAGCTGGTTCTTTGAAAAGATCAATAAAATTGATAAACTTCCATCCAGATTAGGAAAAGAATAGAAAAGAGACAAATTACAAATAATAGGAATGACTGTGTCCTTTGAACTTTAACACTGTTTCCTGTGGACTTTAGATGAATAATAAGAGAATACTACAAACAATGCATTAAACAGATTCAGCAGTTTATATGCGATGGAAATAATTGCCAAAGATCACTGAAGAAGAAGCAGGTAGCCTGAGCAGCCCCATATCAGTTGAAGAAATTGAACTTACATTTAAAACCTTCAACGAAGAAAACTCCTGGCCTAGATGGGCTCCATTGGTGAAGTCTACCAAAGATGGAAGAACTCTGTCAGAATATAGAAGAGGGAACTCTTTCCAACTCATTTTATGTAGCCAGCATCACCTTGAAACTAGACTAAACTACACAAAATCATGGGAACAAAAACTAGATTTGTTCCTCTGTATCTGCTAAGGATTGGTTCTAGTACTCCCATGCACACCAAAATCTGCGGTTGCTCAAGTCTCATAAATGGCATAGTATTTGCATATAACCTACATATATCCTCCTGTGTACTTTAAATCATCTCTGGATTACTTATGCGTAATACAATGTAAATGATATATGTTATGCTCTTTTATTATTTTAAATAGTATTATTTTTTGTTTGGCATTTTTTTCCACCTTTTTTTAGAGATGCAGTCTCACTATGTTGCCCAGACTGGCCTTGAACTTCTGGCCTCTAGTGATCCTCCCGCCTCAGCCTCTTAAGTCGCTGGGACTAGGTGAACCACCTTGCGCAGCTCTCTTTGAATATTTTTCATTTACAGTTGATTGAGTCAGTGGATGTAGTGCCTGTGAATGCAGAGGGCCAACTGCAAGTAGCAAGATGCCACAAGAGCTGAAATGTAAAATTCCTCAAGAAAATACGAGTGAATCAAGTCTAACAGTATATTGTAAGGATAATACATATCATGACAAAGTGTGGTTTGTCTTCGGAATGCAAGGCTCATTCATCCTTCAAAAATCTTCACATCAACAGACAACAGATCTGATCACATCAGATCAATGAAGAAAAACCATATCATTTTGTTAAATTCCTTTATGATAAAACATCTCAGCAAATTAGTAATAGAAGGGAACTTGAATGAAAACTGATAAAGCCCTCTTTCATTTTATTTATATTTTTTGAGATAAGATCTGCCATTCAGACTGGAGTGCAGTGGCACAATCGTAGCTTACTACTGACTTGATCTCCTGGGCCTAAGTGATCCTCCCACTTTAGCCTCTTGAAGTAGCTAGGACTATAGGCACAAGCTATCATGTCCAGCCAAATTTTTTTAATGTTTTGTGGCGATGCAGTCTATATTGCCCAGGCTAGTGTTGAACTCCTGGCCCTAGGTGGTTCTCCCATCTTGGCCTCCTAAAATGTTAGAATTACAGCCTTGAGTCACAGTGCCTGGCCAAGCCCTCTTTTAAAAATCCCATAACTAACATAGTTATTAATAGTTAAAGACTGAAGTGATTTTCTCTGAAACTGGGGAACATAACAAGCATATTCACCATCACCACTCTTATTCAAGCCATGCTGGTGGTCCAGGCAAGAATAGTAAGGCAGGAAAGAAAGAAAAGACATTCAGAGTGGAAGGGGCGGTGTCAGACTGCTTCTGTTCACAGATGTCAGGATTGTCTTTGTAGAATATCCTAAAGAACGTTAAAGAAAAAAAAAAAACCATACTCCTAGAACTAACAAATACATTTAGCAAGATTGCAAGTATGAAGTCAACACTCAAAAATTAATTGCATTTCTATGTACTAAGAATGAACAATTGGAATTTGAAATTTTTTCAAAGTATTATTTTTTATAGCATAGAGAAAAGGAAATACTAAGATACAAACCTAACAAAATGTGTGCAAGGTTTAATGCCCCAAAACTATAGAATATTGATGAAATCAAAGATGACCTACATAAATGGAGAGAAATACTCTGTTCATGGATTAGAACACTCAATATTGTTAAGATATCACTTCTCCCCAAAGGGACCTGTAGATTCAATGTGATTCCAAACAAATTATAAGCAGGATTTTTTAGAAATCAACAAGTGAATTCTAAAACTTGCACGAGAATCAAAGTAAGTACAGTAGCCAAAACAATTTTGCAAGAGAAAACAAAATTAGAGGACTCACATTCTGGTTTTGAGACTGAATACAAAGTGACAGTAATCAGGACGGTGTAGTGAAAGAATAGATGTACAGATCACGGGGACGGAGCAGAGTCCAGAGGTAGACCCACCCCTGTGATCAGGAGGTTTTGGACAGGGGCATGGGGGCATTTTAGTGGAGAAAGGACAGTGTTTTCAATAAATGGTCCTGAACGGTTAGGTATTTTATGCAAAAAGTTGAACTTTGATATGTATTTTGCAGATTATGCAAAAATTAACTCAAAATGGATGATGGAACTAGACATAAAACTCATAGTTCTAGAATAAAATAGAAGAAAATCTTTGTCTCAGAGTTATGTAGAGATTGTTCAGATATATTGCCAAATCCCAATTCATAAAACAGAAATTGACAACTCAAGACTACACTAAAATTTTAAAATTGTGCTCTGAGACTCTGTTAAGAAAATTAAAAGACAGGCCACAGACTGCCAGAAAATATTGATAATGTGTGAGAAGAGACTTACATCCAGGTATATGAAGAATACCGAGGCTGGATGTGGTGGCTCATGCCGAGCACTTTGGGAGGCTGAGGCGGGAGGATCACTTGAGAAGGCCCCATCTCTACCAAAACAAAACAAAACAAAAAGCCAGGCATGGTGGCATGTGCCTGTACACCTACTTAGGAGGCTGAGGAAGGAGGATCACTTGAGCCCAGGAAACAACAACAAAACAGAAATCTATCCTCTCACAGTTCTGAGTCCTAGAAGTCTAAGATCAAGGTGTTGATGGTGCTGAATTCCTTTCAGAGATGCTTAGGCATTCCTCTTCTAGCTTCTAGTAGTTCTTGGCATTCCATGGCTTGTGATCTCTCTGCATCCTCTTTACATTGCTTTCCCCTCTGTGTCTGTCTTGCCTCTTCTCTCTTCCAAGGTAGTTATGATGGCATTTAAGGCCCACCTGGATAATCTAGGCTATTCTTTCATCTCAAGATCTTTAATTAATTTCTTCTTCAAAGATCTTTTTTCCAAACGAGGTGATATTTGCAGGCCGTGCGTATTAGGATGTGAACATATGTTTTGGGTAGGAGAGCGTCATTCAGCCCACTACTTAGCTAAAGCAGACAGACAGAATAGACAGTACTCAGTGCAGTATGCAGGGCAGCTGGAAGTCACACACATTACTGTTGGGAATGCAAAGTGGGAATACAGCCACTTCGTAGAAATATTTGTCAGTTCTTAGAAAGTTAAACATTTTTAATGTCACCCGGCATTCTTATCCTTGAGTATTTACCCAACTCTCGTTCCACCTATAATTGTTTTCCTGTAAGAAGTAGGTTATAGTGAGCATAGATGAGCTTTGTGTAGAATAATTTAAACCTTTTAAATAGGAAATAATGTTGCTTATTTAAGAAAAACTGTATGGAACAAGTATAGGCCTGTTCATTAATAACAAACCAAACTGACAGGCAATGTGGGGTGCCCTATAATCCAGAGATTGGATTCCTTTTGCTCTAAATTTCCTGGTCAGTTAGAGACTTGTTTTTCTATAAAAGTTATGAGGACTTACAACGTTTAGAATGGGAAGAAATCACATGTAATTTCTTACCTGATACTGTAGCTGTTTGGGTTGCAGGTTATAGAGGCTGAGGTTTTATTAACCCTCTTCTGCCTCATTATGCTTTCTTCCTAGCCTTTCTTCCCACAGGCAGAAATGTTGATATAGCCATTATTATATAATCACTAAGTAAAGACATACATGGTTGATAACCTTGAATGATTTGTTCTGAAATTATAATAACTAAAATTACCTTGCTTTCCTTCAAGATTCGAAGGCCATATAGAAATCTGCCCACCAGGCATGAGCCATTCAGCTTGTTCAGTAAACAAGAGTGTTCTAGAAGCCATCAGAGGAAGACTTGGATCTTTTCATGAACTCCTGCTGGAGCCACCCAAGGTAGGGGAGCTATCTTAAGCATGGCTGCCTAGCCAGTAATTTGGTTGACACAGTCATTCGAATGTATATGGGCCTTAGGAGTGGCAGAACTGGCTGCGGTCTGCATGTACCAAATGTGTGAAAACGTAACACCATCAGTGATTTTTACTGCTTTTGAGTGGAGAATGGAGAATTAAACAAAATATTCATCTGCTTAGGAAGTTTACCTTTTCATTCTTCTGTGAATTCCTGGGTACTTACATGCCAATAAAGAAAAAAGAATTTTCTTCTTGTAGCATAACGTATTATTTTTGAATGTTTCAGGAAAAGCTAATCTTTCAGAAACTGATCTTTGAAATTGTGTTTTCTTATTCAGAGTTGGAGCAGTATATGTCTGATGTACAGTCGACCTTATTTAAGAAAGAGTAGGTTGAAGTTAGTGTACAATTTGGAAAGAATATGACTTGGAGGTTTTTCAGTACAGAGCCTCCCATGTACTAATTTTAAAATGACTGTTTCCTCAGTGAAGACCCACAAGAGTTTTGTCAGCAGTCTATAAACGGTGTTCTTTCGCCCCTTGGATTGGTACAGATTTAGATAAGGGGAAGAATCACTTGCGTTTGGAGTCTAGGGTGGAAGATTCAGTTCCGTGCGATTTCTGTTCCCAGCAACAGTTCTTAAGTTTCCTTTTTTTCTGCCCTATGTCATTGAATCTGGTGTCCCATATAGTGTGTATCTCTGTGGTTATCTACTGTGCGAGTTATTGAGAATTCAGAATACTAGTTTCTCACTTCTAAATTAGATGTTTTCTGTTTATTTAACTATTTGGAGTTGTGGGAGTACAGGATAACTTACATAACCAAGGGAGTCTAGTTCAGCTTTAGATCATCTTTTCAGATACCCGATGCCATTGGTTAGCAGGTCGTGGTTCCATCGCTGCGCTCCAGAGTTTGCGTTGTTCTGCTGGTTCCATTCCAGCCACATCTTCTTATCTGCATTCAGCCTGTGTTGAATGTGGACCACAGTGTTGGTGCTCGCCCTTAGGGAAAGTGCCTCTGTTGGTGTTTGACAGTGATCATCCTTCATGCCAGTCCTGGGAAGAAAAACAGTAAGGAAAGAAAAAGAAAAGATTTAGAAGAGGATAGAACGTCACAAATGGAAGACAGAGGTGGGAGAAGGATCTGACAGGGAAGAAGGTGTGTGAGGAAGGGCCCAACCTGTGTCTTAGGTGGCCTACCCATCTTCTTTCTGGGTGGACAAACAGGTGGCATCTGGTTCTTGGCCCCGATTCAAAAGTATTAGGCAGGGTCTTGTTTGGGCTTCTCTGTTACTCTGAGGACTGAGTGAGTTCTCTTTGCACCTGGTTTTACTATGTGATGTGTCTGTAAGTAGATCCATGAAGTTTTTTACAAAGCCTGCCAATTAGAGCTGTTTTCCATAGAGAGCAGAACCGTGGGCCTTACAGCTCTGTCAGTCCTCGGGAGGGTGGGAGCCAGAGGGAGCGAGGCTGTTGATGTGGATGGGGAAGGGCAGAAAGGGCAGCCTGACCTAGGGTGTGACATGCCACCCTTGCCTCTCAGACTTCTAAAGTTAGGAAATGTTCTGCTTCTGTCTTTTGTGATTTCGGACTATAGAAACTCCTGTTGATGGACAAGAACAGGTTTAGAATGATCACATTTCAGGTTTGTGATCCAGAGGCAACGTCTGAATTTGCATTTTTATCACAGATTTGGCTCAGACTGAGGATTGTATTCCAAAACCACTTGTAGCAACTACTACCACTACCACCACCACTACTACTACTTTTTTCTTCTTCCCCTTTTTTCTTCTTCCTTTCTTCCTCTTCCTCCTTCTCTTTCTTCCTCCTCCTTCTTCTCCTCCTCCTCCTTTCTTCCGTCTTCCTTTTTTTTTTTTTTTTTGAGACAGTGTCTCACTCTGTTGCTCAGGTTAGAGTACAATGGCACAGTCACAGCTCACTGCAGCCTCAACTTCCCCAGGCCCAGGTGATTCTCCCACCTCATCTTCCTGAGTAGCTGGTACTACAGGTGTGCATCACCATGCCTGGCTAATTTTTGTATTTTTTGTAGAGACAGGATCTCACCATGTTGCTCAGGCTGGTCTCAAACTCCTGGGTTCAAGTGATCCACCTGCCTCGGCCTCCCAGAGTGCTGGGATTATAGGAATGAGCTACTGTGCCCGGCCATAACTTCTTTTAGTTTAGATTTTTGGTCAGATTTTGAAATATTGTGCTTTTTCCTAGGGTATTCTGCAGCCTTCTGCTTTCTTCTCATGACAGCTTGGAATGTTGAGGCAGGGAGATACTTGATTTCTTATAAAATTTATGGTCCAGGGAAATTACTGGCTTTTTTTTTCCTTTTTCCTGCTTGGTTATTTCATTGTATCTGAAAGATATCAAGAGCAACTTTAGATTTTGTTTCAGGTGTAAAATTAAGGCCATGTTGTTTGCAGGATTTAAACTAGCGTCATGTCTTAGCAAATACACCATTTGCTTTGTTCATTTAACTGAATTTAATTGGAAAGCTTTTTCTTCTTCAGAAAAGTGTGATGAAGACCACATGGGGTGTGCTGGATCCTCCTGTGGGGAATACCCGGTTGAATGTCATTAGATTGATATCCAGCCTGCTTCAAACCAATACCAGCAGTATAAATGGGGACCTTATGGAGCTGAATAGCATTGGAGTCATATTGGTGAGATTTTCCCTGCTCACAGACATTTTAATTTGCCATTGATATTTCATGGAAATTTAACCAAGTTACAACCTTACAGATTTACAATATGTCAGTGACTTTTCTTGGTCTGAGCATAAATGGTGTTTTATGTAGTTTTTGCCTTGAGTTTATCATAAATTTTGAATGCTTATAATTGTTCACTAGGCATCTACTGTTGCTTTGTATAAAGAATTGTAACACAGGATTTTGAAGATGATTAAGAGACATCGGCCTTTCCCTTGTGCTCTGTCTCGTGGACGATGACTGCTGGGTGCAGCATTGTTTTCTGTTCGTATTTAGTGAGGGGACAAACCTTTATCTTCTTGCCACTGGGAGGTATCTGTGTAATGTACCTGATGCCATATGGTCTTAATTGATTTGAGTCTGGATTGACTCTTCCTTGAGACAGTTATTAGCGTGGTTATTGATGGAAGGAGAAGGGAAAGCCCAGGGGTGATTTAGGTCTCCCTGACCCCTGAATTCCCGAGTTTCAGAGTTTGTGCTTAGAAACCACAGGCCCAGCTCTGGAGCCCATGCTTCTGTCTGTGCTGCCACCCACAGCACAGAAAGCATGAGGATTAACCCTTTAGCAGGTTTCACAAGACATCTGGTCACATCATATATTTGGGGGAGATTTGGGGGTGTTTCAAAGGAGATGTTTGTTCACTTTATGACGGGCATTGTAATGTTCATCTTCTCTACACTATTCATGTGATCCTGGGTGATCTCCAGGACACCCAGGTGAACATTACAGTGAGAGGGAGGATATGTTTTTCAGATCATGCCCAGAGAGAGGATACATTCCATCGGCTAGTGAGTCGTGAAGCCAAGATTTGAATTCACCCAATTTCAAACCCATATGTGCTTTATCAGCCACATCATTGTGATTCCTAGCATCACTGAGATATTTTTGTTAGATTTCAGCTTTGGGTTAAATCAGTATAGAGCATAGAAAACAGGAGCAATTTGGAAAAAAAGATGAAGATTTAAAGAATCACCATTTTTTTGATAGCTAGCATGGTCATTGCCCTCTGGGGATGTAGTTTTTGTCTTACCTTCTAGTGTATAAAACTCTGGGAATATAACTTTGCGAAGTCATTAATCACTAGTCTTTAATTTTACTAATAAAAGTGTACAGTTATTGTTAATTTATTCTGTTAATCTTAAGGACTCCTTTTGATGAGACTTAATTTGATGAGACTACTGGAGGAGTATTCATTACTTTTTCATTCTGAGATTAGATTACCAGATCCAACCATTTCCTAAATACATACTTGATGCATTTTGTGCTTTTAGAAATTCTTTACCTTTTGAATTGCTGTTACCTTTTCAAGTAATTTGAAAACCCTTGTACTTACAGGAAATTCACGTTGCTGCCTCTCGTACCATTTGTTTTTGCTGATAGTTCTAGTTTTTGTATGCCAGAGTTGAGTCATGAGCACCTCAAGATTGTGGACCATATTTTTGTGTACCTCAGTCTGCCATATTGCATCTCGTACAATACCCTGCACAAAAGCCATCAGTAAATATTTGTTGCATCAAAATGAAATTCTTATAAATTTTCTTGAAAATTATAGAAAATTTACCACACTTAGTATCTGTGTTAGTTGCTTTGAAAACAAAAATGATACTCCCTTTCTCTTGGAGAAACGTTCTCTTGTCTTTGTATGTTTGTCGTTGGTTTTTTACTAGATTCCATGCCAGTTTTGGCATGTCACATAAGCAGATAGCATGCCATTTAGGCTCTAAAGCAGTATTTCACATGCCCATGTAGTCCCCGTTATTTATGATAGATGCCTTCAGAGACCAAAGACCCCGTTTGGATGCCCAAAACCACAGATATCTAACCCTATAGATATACTATGTGTTTTTCCTATACATACCTGTGACAAAGTTTAATTTATAAATTAAGCACAGGAAGAGATTAATAATAACTAATAATAAAGTAGAGCAATTATAATACTATGCTGTAATGAATGTTATGTGAGTGTCATCTCTTGCATTAGCCTGTCATACTGTATTATACTCACCTATTTTCAGATCATGGTTGACTATGGGTAACTGAAACCACAGAAAATGAAACTCTGGTTATGCAAGTACTAATGATGTGAACTCGTGTTCCTTTTAATTGGTCCTTTTGGAGTGAGAGCACATCATTTTTGCTTTATTAAATCACTCTTCTATAAATGTATTAAAGTATTGGCTTAAACATTGAGGTAACCAAATAAAACATGGTTTTTCTTTCTTGTAGAACATGTTCTTCAAATATACATGGAATAACTTTTTGCATACACAAGTGGAAATTTGTATTGCACTGATTCTTGCAAGTCCATTTGAAAACACAGAAAATGCCACAATTACTGATCAAGACTCCACTGGTGATAATTTGTTATTAAAACATGTAAGCTTATTTGGTCTCATTTTTCTCCCACTCTCTCCTGGTTAGAGCAGTTTTCCACTTGACTGTGGTATGAATTGAGGTTTAAGGGCGTGAGGTTAGATTTCAGAGTCTAAATATTTAACTATCATGTTTGTTTCATGTTTAACCAATCGTTATATAAATGAAGTACTGGACAAATAACTATTAAATGAACTGTCTTGTGAGAAAAAAGCTAAGTGGCCTCTTTATTTGATAAAATTAATAGGTTTGAAGATATACAAATATTTTGATGATTTGAAGAATCATAGATATTTAAATACTATAGAAAACATTCGCACTATTATTTGGCAGACCAGAGTATACTTTCTTTGCTGAATACGTTGACTGAAAGTCAGGAGAATTGAGTTCTTTGTGATGTTGAGAGTCTCTTCCTGGGGTCTCTTTTTCTCTTCTGTCAAATATGAGATAATTTTACTAAGTCAGTCTTCAGATTTTTTCTTGCTTGTTAGTTCTATGGTACTTTAAAAATTTCTAGCCCACGCTTAGTTTACTCACAAACCTAAAATTTAGAAAAGGCTAGCTTGGAACAATGAAGTTGATGGGAAAGACAAATGACACCTGAGAAGAATTAGCACTGCACATTCCATTATTGCAGCCCACAGCAGTTGTCTCTGACTTGCAGAATTTGGGCAAAATCCACCTGTGTTTAATATTAATGCAGTCATGTTAGTTCATCTGGAAGTAAGACTTGCTCACATTTTAAAAGTACTAGTATTACTTTGGATTCTAAGTTAAATTTTTGCCAAGGCATAGTTTTCTTTATTCCGTTTTAATTTAGTTCAGGTTTTATATTTCTGGTCTGAATTTTCACAGCTAATAAAACCTGGTTTTGCTTCAGGTTAACTGCACTACCTGTAATACTGAGTTTCCTGTAGATGTTCTGTGGAGGGTGTGGATCCTGATTTGAATCCCTGTGGTGTTCTGAGGGTCTGCAGTAGATTATCACATTGCATTTGGTTTAGCAACATTTAGCTTGCTAGATTATGCATACTACTATTCTCTGTAACCTAGAGTTCTGAGGCCTAATATCCAGAACCTATAAAGAACTCAGTCAAATTTACAAGAAAAAAAAAAACAACCCCATCCAAAAGTGGGCAAAGGATATGAAGAGACACTTCTCAAAAGAAGACATTCATACAGCCAACAGACACATGAAAAAATGCTCATCATCACTCGCCATCAGAGAAATGCAAATCAAAACCACAATGAGATACCATCTCACACCAGTTAGAATGGCAATCATTAAAAAATCAGGAAAGAACAGGTGCTGGAGAGGATGTGGAGAAATAGAAGATGTGGAGAAACACTTCTACACTGTTGGTGGGACTGTAAACTAGTTCAACCATTGTGGAAAACAGTGTGGTGATTCCTCAATGATCTAGAACTAGAAATACTATTTGACCCAGCCATCCCATTACTGGGGATATACCCAAGGGATTATAAATCATGCTGCTATAAAGACACATGCACACGTATGTTTATTGTGGCACTATTCACAATAGCAAAGACTTGGAATCAACCCAAATGTCCATCAGTGACAGACTGGATTAAGAAAATGTGGCACATACACACCATGGAATACTATGCAGCCATAAAAAAGGATGAGTTTGTGTCCTTTGTAGGGACATGGATGCAACTGGAAACCGTCATTCTCAGCAAACTATTGCAAGAACAGAAAATCAAATACCACGTGTTCTCACTCATAGGTGGGAATTGAACAATGAGATCACTTGGACACAGGAAGGGGAACATCACACACCGGGTCCTATTGGGGGGGGGGGGGAGGGAGGGATAGCATTAGGAGGAGATATTCCTAATGTAAATCATGAGTTAATGGGTGCAGCACACCAACATGGCACATGTATACATACGTAACAAACCTGCACGTTGTGCACTTGTACCCTAGAACTTAAAGTATAATTAAAAAAAAAAAAGTTTCAATGCTTTGAAGTGTTAACTGGAATATTCTTTTTTATTCAGCTTTTCCAAAAATGTCAATTAATAGAACGAATACTTGAAGCCTGGGAAATGAATGAGAAGAAACAGTAAGTAAATTGTTTTTTGAAAGGAATTCAGTTTGGTAATACGAAGAAAATAATACCTCCTTGCCCTAGTCAGAAAAAAAATGGAAATAATTACATGATACTGGCCATTTTACAATTTAAACTTTTCCCCAGCTTATTTCATTGTAACAGTTATTTTTATAATATTAATAATTTCTTGTTAGGTCCTCTCGTTTTCGGGGCAAAACCAGTGAGTTTAGAGTGTTCCCCACCTCTGTGCTGCCTTTGAAACTTCCTGGTCCTTTTTGAATGGCTATTGTTCTAAGAGTTAGAAGGTTTAAGTGAAGTCCTTGATGATTCAACTTAGTGTATTTGTCCTGGTCACCTTATACTTAGAACAGATGGTACTACATACGTATTTTCATTGTGGAGAAGAGTTGCTTAGTACAGGGACCTAGAGGAAAAAATTGCTGAGTATTTTCTTTTTAGAAAATGTTTGTTAGCTGATTGGCAAGATTATATGAAGTGTTAGTTGATACATGTAAGTAGCTTTGTTACACAAAACTTTTTCTTACAGGTATTGTCTGTAACAGCGTTCCTCTTTAGTGCTCTGGGAGCCTGTATGTCCTCCCGTAGATTCTGAAGCATGGCGGCATAAGGGCCTGTTTGGGAAACACTCTCAAGGCATGCTTCTGTGTTTGTTTTTAAGACAGGTTTATTGAGATATAATTCTTACATGGTAAAGCTCATTGTGGGTGTGCATTCCTAGGAATTCTGACTGATGCCTGAAGTCACCACCACCACCACCACCACCACAATCAAGACATTTCTGTCACCCCCAAAATTCCTCTCATGGTCCTTTGTAGTTGATCATTTCCTAGCATTCTTGTTATGTGTCTCTGTGTCTCCAGGAAAGCTAGATGACTCTTGGGAGTCAGCCTTACTTTGTGAGGTGTGATTTTTTTTTAATTGTTTAATAAGCACTGCTGGGGTTTTGATTTGGCTTCGTGTGGGAAATTGGTATTTTGTTTGTTTGTGGCAAGGGGCTAGTATTGGTAGACCTTAGTTACATTCTTCCAAATGGAGCTCTTTGAAGGTGCTGTTTGTGGCCTAGTCGACATCTCTGGTTATATGTCTGACTTCGTCTTGGCTTCTGTGTGCCCTTCCCAACCTCCAGTTTTCTTGCTGGCTCCTCATCTGGCCAGGGCTGAGATATCCTTTATACCCTGCTCTCCTGGTGAGCCCCGTTTTCTGGAGGCCTGGTGAATACCATTCCCTCCATCTGGAGGGATCCTGAAAGAACTTTCCTTGTCTCCTTGCACAGCAGCCTGAAGCAATTTGAAGCCGTGGACCACCTTGGAGGTGGGCCTTTGTTTTTTTTTTCACTTGTGTACTTGAGGGAGTGCAGGAGAGTGACTAAGTTGCCTCTAGGTAACACCTGGCTCTCTGGATCTTACTGAAGAACTAAAAGAGACTCTGAGCAACTCAGTGCAGATTGACCCTGGCCAGGCACGGTGGTAGACACCTGTAATCCCACTGCTTTGGGAGGCTAAGATGGGAGGATTCGTTGAAGCCAGGAGTTAGACACCAGTCTGGACAACATAGGGAGATCCTGGCTCTACAAAAAATTAGCCAGGTGTGGTGGTACTTGCCTGTAGTCCCAGCTGCTCAAGAGGCTGAAGTGAGAGAATTGCTTGAGCCCAGGAGTTTGAAGCTGCCATGAGCTGTGATTGCACCACTGCACTGCAACCTGGATGACAAGCAGGGTCTTGTCTCTAAATAAATAAGCAACCCTGTACTTTCTTACCCTTAGGCACCCCTAAGCCCTCTAAGATTCTCTGGCAGATACTTTATTTTCCAAGCAAGCCTTCAAGCATAGGATGATTTTTTTTTTCTTATTGCTCCTGAAAGGCTTTTCTCTCTCTAAGCAAAAATCTCTGCAGTGTTTGTTCCCTGCTATCTGCAGTCAAAAATCTTCTATTTCATAGCGCTTAAAGTCTTGGCACTTTGTAAATATGCAGATAACTCAGATTGATATGAATTTATTTATTTTATATATGTGTGTGTGTGTGTGTGTGTATATCTATATATATATATAGAGAGAGAGAGAGAGAGAGAGAGACACGGAGTCTCGCTTTGTCACCCAGGCTGGAGTGCAGTAGCACAATCCTGGCTCACTGCAACCTCTGCCTCCTGGGTTCTTGCAATTCTCCTGCCTCAGCCTCCTGAGTAGCTGGGATATCAGGTGTGCACCACCACACCTGGCTAATTTTTGTATTTTTAGTTTTTTTGTATTTTTTGTATTTTTAGAGATGGGATTTTGCCATGTTGCCCAGGATGGTCTTGAACTCCTGACCTCAAGTGATCCACCCACCTTGGCCTCCCAAAGTGTTGGGATTACAGGCGTGAACCACTGTGCCTGGCCTGATACGAATTTATTTAAGTGTAAAGATTGATCATGGTTGGGAAGATGAGACCCTAAATTGGAAAAGGACAAGGACTAAGTTTATTTGCATATGTTCAAAATGGTGTATGGTCAAGTACCAGTTGACTGTCTCCTATCTTGGCTAAGTCCTCAAATCAGCGAATATCTTGAGACGTGTCATTGGTAGATAATTATTTCTATTCATTGACATAATAAAAATTTGCTATCTTTTAAGAAAATGAACTAGCAGAATTCTCACTTCAGTTCCTTATAATCTGATTAAGGTTTGAAAACGTTTCATAAAAAAGATATAAAATAACAGTACATTAGGCATCAGTGAATGTTTATTTGATCTTTTAAAAGACAATGTGTTATTGACAGTGAGTGATGGTTTTTGAGATTTGAATAAATTGTGGCCTCTTGACTGAGGCTGCCATATAATCTTTGACAATCTCAGACCCCTCCCCGACCATGCTGCATGGTCATATTCTGGCACCTTACATTCCTTTTTCTTTTCTTTTCTGTCCATTGTCGTCATCTTCAGTGCCTTCAGTGTTTAAAATGATTGCTTAAAAGTCTGCAGCACTTACTGAGTGTTTCATCACTTCATCCTATCAGGAATCTGAGTATTTATCCTTTACCTCTTATCAGGGCTGAGGGAGGAAGAAGGCATGGTTACATGGGACACCTGACGAGGATAGCTAACTGTATCGTGCATAGCACTGATAAGGGCCCCAACAGTGCATTAGTGCAGCAGCTTATCAAAGGTAAGTTATTGGTGAAATTTGAGTTACGTTTTTGTTGGGTTGCAGAAAGGATTTAAGGGTCAAGTAGAAATGCATGTAGCATTTTTGATAGTGATTTGTGGAACTTCTTTATATTTGGCAAATTATCTATTTGAATGAGGTTCTTGAGAATGTATTTGAACAGTGTCAGGTTTTGGCTCTATTGCTGTTCACGTAGTTACAGACCATTCCTTAAGCATTCGCAGGCTTGGCTGGATTCAGCATACAAGAGTCACCTATTGTCATTCTTAAGAATGTTGCTCAGTAAATCATTCTTTTGAGTATTGTGAGTGTGAAGTACTCATATGCTAGCAGTTGAGCCACTTCAGCTATAATTTTGCCTTTTATTTTCTGAAGGCCTCTATATAGCCTCTGAATTAAGTTTCTTTAACTGGAATATTAGGGCATTTATCAGCATTTCTTGCTATCACTGAAATGAGCGGTATTGGCTTCTAAAGGACTCTGTGTATAGCATTTCAGTTTAATCAGCCCCAGCTTATTTGGAAGAGACTGTATGGATGCTTTTTACACTGGCCCCAAGCCATGAGTCTTCTAAAATGAGAGCATGAGGAGCTCTGTGTACTCTGGGTTTTTGTACCCAACAGGATTACTAATCCTGAGACCTATTCTGAATGTGAACAGTCTTTAACATCCATGGTATAGAAGAGTTAAAATCATTTCCCAGTCCTTCCGTTTTTTTCTTAAGAATGTTTGTTTGTTCAAGAGGCTATTCCCTGTTGAATGTGCACTAAAAGCACAGTTGTCACTCAGGGATGGAAAAAGTGCTGTGTGCCCACTTGTAATTTTACTTCTTGAGAGAGGTATAAGAGGTATAAAACTCTTCCTTGGGCCATTTCTCTACACAGTTTATCTTTATGTCCTAACTAAGAAGAAATGGTCATGTGATATCATTAAGTTTTTAGATCAGTCTTTCCTTTATGGAAGCTGCTTGCCAGGTGGTACTTGTGTACACTTGTGTGAGTGTGCACATATGCATGGCTGTTTTAAATCAGAATTATCAGATGACAACTTTAGTTAGGCGTCTAAAATTACATCACGGTTTGACTTTCTCAGGAAAGCAGTTGTTTATCCTTTTCTTTAACGTTTCTCTAGAAGGTAGAATTTTTCACTATTTACATGTGTATCCATGTTGGCCCATGACACAAAATATTTAGGAAACATGATCTTAGAGCAATTTGAGAAGCCATACTAGGTTCTGCGGAACATTCATTGGCCAGGTGCCAATGAGAGCATTTCAATAAAGCGCGCAGGAGCTGTCATTTGCAGCATTTTCTAAACTTCACCGTGGAAAAAGATCCCCTCACCCCTACACCTTCTCAAACACCTACCACCTTTCTCAGAAAAGCTTGTTAGAAACACACTTTCCAGGTAAAGTTTCTACCAGAACATTGTTAGAAACTTGTTAAGTTCACAGAGCTACCTTAGGGCTCTTGGCCTAATCAAGCCTATACCACTGGGTACGGGGATTCTGGTTCCTGAAAGTCTGTGGGATTTGGGCCTATGGAAGGTGTAATAATTCCATTTCTCTAAGAGCACTGGGCTGGCTGTCACCCAGTTTCTCAGCTGATAGGGCCTGCTCACCATTGATGAACCAGGTGAGTAGGCCCACTTTTATATTACCTGTTTACTTTATTTGTCTGTGTGGAGGTCATTGTGGTGCTAATACTGTTTTGGTTTTCTCTTTCTGAAGATCTTCCCGACGAAGTCAGGGAACGATGGGAGACATTCTGCACAAGCTCCTTAGGAGAAACTAACAAGAGGAACACGGTAGATCTAGTAGGTTTTACAAGGTTACATTTTTATTTTTTCAGTGCTCTTAGCCTTTGCCCATTTATTCAGAAAGATGTAAAAGATCTTCCATTTGCCTTAGTAACTGTGAGCCAAAGATAAGTTCTTATCTCTTTACCAGGAAGAGAGGTCAGGAGTCACAATATTCTTGCCCATTTGTCTAGTCCACTCCTAATTACCTGCCTGGGATGACAGAAGGATATTGAGAAGCCACTGATTTCTGCTCCACATCCTACTTGTGTCCATTTCCCTCCATGCCCTGCTGCCTAAGCACCTCAATAGAACAACCCTCTTGCCTTCCTTTCATTCTGCTGGGTTTGTGGCCATATGCCGCTGATAACCCTAGGTGCTTAGGAACTGAAAGATTTCATTTGGATATTTTTCTGATATTACTGAGTTGAGTATACCCTCCTTTTAGATCATTCCCAATGGGGGAGTATTTTGTAGATGACTTTGAAACCCCAGCTTTAAAATTTTTTACCAGAATCGGTACTTTGAGCTAGGGAATAATGGCATTGATAATTTTTTTAAAAATTATATTGGACTTTGGAATGTATTTTTTTGTTTTTTAACAGATTAAGTTTTAAGGTAAGTATTGCTTTGTTTCTGCTTTTAAAGATGGGGAAAGCATTTCCTTTTACAAGTACATGCCAGCTGATAGTCGAGGAGGGGTGGCCTTGGCTTAGAAGCAGCACGTGACTCGACATTGAAGTGTTTGTGTTTGGCATTTAATTCTATATTTCAAATTTAGCAGTGGCAGTCTTGAATTTCTAGTACGCAGTTACACCTTGACTGTTAGGAATTCAATGATCTGGCAGCCTGAAACAAGAGGGAAGCAGGTTCTGAAAGCCAGAGAGCAGCCACTTGGTCCTCCTGTGTCACTCCCTGGAGGGCTGTGCCTCCTACTTTGTGGATTACCTAAAAATATGGCCGTCTTTTTCCAGACTCTCGACAGAGCCACACTTTTTAAGCTGGGTATAATGATAGAATTAGGAAGTATTAAAAGTTGGAAGAATTATGAAGTTGAGATAACTATTAAAAGGCCATTTAATTAAAATGGACATAAGGCCTAATAGCCCGAGTGTCTCTGTGTAGTACAGCCCAGCAGAGAAAATGACATTAGTATTGAGAGCCCTGGGTCATCAAGGAAGGGTTAAGTCATTTTTAATGAATGTTTTACCCATCGTAGATAGATACTTGGAATATTCGCTTAACTTGAGTGTTCTGGATAATCAGGGTTTTTTTTTTGTAGAGTGAAATTGTCCTCTCCCATATTGTTAAACCGCTTAATTTTAGAGGTTCCCATGTTGATTCCTTTGCAGTCAATGTAGTCTTTTTTAAGGGGATTTTTGTCTTATTTCTTACTTATAAAGGAATATTTAGTAATATTCAGATTTTGTTTGGGAAACTTTTAAAAAAATTATCCTTTGATTGGCTTAAAAGGTAGAAGTCAAAAATGTCCAGTTAAGCTTGTTACCAGACTTTTAAATAATCGTTTTTATCTCAGGTAGCTCAAGCGTATTTCTCTTGTGAGCAGTTCTGTAATAAAGAAGGACTTCATTACAATTCAGATAATGCTCACTTACTGTACAGTATGCTGTCAGCAGATCTGCTCTGGGATTGTGTGTGAATGTTATTACATATATCCCCATGGAGGGTGTGGTCATCCAGCAACAAATGAAACGTTCAGCCCCTGGTAGGCTGTGTTGGAAAAAATTATTTTGGGCTCCATCCATCTGTCACTCAGATTGTGTCTCAGTTCTTCTTTGCTTGCTCTACTTCTCTACCATCATACTCGGACTACATAATCTAAAGTCAAACAGAATGATAAGTTGGCTTATATAGCAAAAGTGGTTAGATTTATAGAGCCCTTTAACATTGCCTATATATCCCCTGATGAGTTAGCCCCACTCCGTAATTTTGCTGTCTGTTGAGACTTCAGGTGAATCTCAAGACTTCTTCAATTCTTTGTTCCCGAGCCCTTTCTTAAATACCACTTGCATTTAGTCTGAAGTCCTTCTAATAGGGAGTTTTGCTTTGTAGTATTGTGAGGGCTACAGCGATTCCAAGTGTTTAATATCCTTATAGAGTAGGTCTAGGCACCAAGGAGATTTTAACCATATCCTCCAGGCCGTTCATTTTCCTGTCCAGAATGTTTTCGAGCTGTATCTCAGTGGGGTTGGGTACCATGTTTCAGGAAAAATATGCAATTGTAAATATTATTATGAATACAACTTGGTAAATACAGTGGGCCTTACCCTTGCAAAAGTGACATAGAAAAAGAGTGCCCATGTTTGAAATGTGGTAGTTACACTTGCCTTCTTAACACACTCATCACTGGAATTGGTAGTTAAGTAATAGCTTACTTATTCCCTGCTCCCTTTCCCAAATAGATAAGATTAGATACACTGCCTTGGCTTAGTTAACTTTGGAATAGCTTGGTACCTCTCTGGAAGTCATTTCAGGTATATTCATAGAAGTGGAATCAGCCCAGTTCAGCACCACATGCTTAAGTTAGTACATTGTTAACCTGACCTGTTATTTTTCTGTTTACAGCAAGGATACATTCATTTATACACCAAACACCTGTCCTGTGGGCTGTGTGCCTGAGGACTTGCTCACTTCTTTTGGATAAGCTGTGCCCAGCTCCAGGCTCCTTTCACTTCTGTAACATTTTAGTTAAATTCTCTCTGAGATATTTGAAGTGCTTTAATCATTTGGCTCCATCATACCCAAATATGTGCACAGCAGATTCGTATACTCCCTATGTTTTTATGTTTAGAGTTCGTGATGAGCAAAAGTTGGTGTTTTAATTATATCCAAAGACCTCTGTGTTTTGACTAAGTCCCCAAACTAAAAATTGGCAAGGATTTAGGTAGAGTGAATTTAGAGAACATAGGACATGTTTTTGTACTGACTTTGAAAAATTTGACTTTGTTTCATTTTTTGCCCACTTCTCCAAGGGGGAGAATGTATTTAAAAGTGTTGATGCTTCTTTCCCATCATTGACAAGATAGTTTATAGAAGAAGAGATGTAGAATGATCTGAATGTGTGCCTGTATTAATCACCAGGAGTTTCTGCAGGTCGGGGTGAAAGCTGAGAGTGGGTGTTTCTAACTAACCCTAGGTTTTGTTGATGCTGGGGGTCCTCAGTGGGACCATACTTTGAGGATCAAGGAGTAAGTCTCTACCTTTCACTCGTCACTAATATGGACCTCAGAGTTTAACAGTCATTTCACACTTCTGATTTCCCTTGGTAACCTAATCAGCCAAAGTAAACACCAATTTGCTTTTTCCTGTAACAACAGTTAACAAAACAAAAATTTTATTACGAAAGAAGATAATATCTCAGAAACTGTTTGTACCAAAACAAGAGTGTACTTTACTTACAGTGTATCTAGCTTGGCAAGAGTGTTATATACTTGTTGCTTTTTGCTGTATTTGTTTATATTCAGTGATTATTAGTATTCATTAATTCAGTAAATATTTGAGTGCCTACAATGTGCCAGACACTGAAGGTATAGTACTAGACAAGATTGGCAAAAATTTCTGCTTCAATGGAGATGGATAAACAAATGAGTAAGGTCTCAGTATGTGTCATACACAGTCATGGACTGCATAATGTTTCGGTGAGCAGTAGACCACATATATGACAGTGGTCTCGTAAGATTAGAGTACTCGATTTTACTGCACATTTTTTATGGTGTAGATAACACACATACCACCATGCTCCCGTTGCCTCAGTATTCAGTGCAGTACTGTGTTCTGCAGGTGTGTAGCCTAGGAGCAGTTGGCTCTACTGGATAGCCTAGGTCTGCAGTAGGCTCATCACGTGAACTGCATGATGTTTGCATGATGACAGAATTGCCTTTGTCAGAATGTATCCTTGTCGTGAAACAATGCATGACTCTGCATGTTTCAGATGATAAGTGCTAAGGAGCCAACACATGGGAGGGAGTTAGGGAGTCTTTGGGGCAGGTGTACAATTTAAAATCTGGTGTCAAGGAAAATCTCACTGGGAAGGTGCATTTGTGGAGTGGGTGGGGAGGGAAGGGCGAAATGCAGAGGACCAGAATGTGGGTTGTTCCCAGTGTGTGCAGGGACTGGCATGTTGTCCTGTGTGGATGTAGCAGTAAGCAAAGGGGAGAACAAAAAGACTGGAGGCCAAAGGCGCTGAACAGCCAAATTTTCTACAGCTTTTTAGTCCATGGTGAGCAGCTTATTTTTTGATCTAATGAGAATTTGTTAGGTTTTGAGCTAAACAGTGCCATACCTTGATGTATATTTTTAAAAGATGGCTATGGCTGTTGGGTTGAGAACAGACTGCTCAGTGGGGCAAGAGCTAGGAGGAGGGAGACTGGGGAACTGCCAGCTGTGACATTAGTGTAGGTGAGGAGAGTGCTGACTTGCACTGGGGAGCTGATAACAGACTTGATGAGGGGCAATGGGTCTGGAGAGGGATTTTAGGCTCCATTTTGAAGCTAGAGGGGACGTGGTGGGTGGGCTGGAGGAAACAAGATGACCAAGGTTTTTAGCTGAAGAAGAGTGAAGGTGGCAATTACTGAGCTGGAGATGCCTCAAAAGGAGCGTGTTTGGAAGTGTAGATCAGGAACTCAGTTTTGTGTACGTCTGAGTAATGAACTGATGGAATTCCGATTAGCAAGTTTCCCCCATGGGTAAATAATCTTTTTAGCTCATTTTGTGAATAATGATTTTTCAGACACAGATGGTATAGGTGGAATCAGGCTCACATCTTCCATTAATGCAATTGCGAAGATGTGTGTGCGTTGTGTTGTTATTAGTAAGTTGCTAAAACTAGTTTCATCTTGAAGAAAAAGCATTTTTAAGTATCTTCTAGTATTGCTTTGAGGATCCAGTTTAAGTAGAACATGTGAAGGAGAGGTCACAATGTCTGGCACATAGTAGTTCAATAAAAGTTAGTTTCTTTCTCATCTTTAATTAAAGAGTGTTAAAATCTTATTTTGTAGGAAAAAGCAAAAGTATGAATGAGGATACATTGAATCCTATTTTAACGTAGACAGCAAGACCTGGCTAAGAGTCGCCAACTCTGTTTTGTCCTATTTTGTTCAGTTCTTTGCGTGGCTTTCTATTTCTGTGCTCTACCATGAGGTTGCACCCCTAAAACACACTGGCCTAGCATGATGTGTGTGCTGGCTTGCCAGCCAAGTGGCCCAGAGCTCCTGAGTGCACTGCAGTACAACCACTTGACCTGCACTTGAACATAGTCCTGTGAGATGCCAGCTGCCATGACCAAGCAGTATTCCCACTCCTCTTCTGCATTCTGGCAAGGCTTTCCTGGAACATCCCCATGCCCACATCTTTACCCGGTAACTCACTAAAGCCATTCTTGACTCAAGCAGGTGCCCTTCATTGATCACAGAATCTACCTTTGATTTCATCAGGCCAGATTCACAAACAGAATGGGAGTGCTTTATCTATACCTTTGAGAGAATGGAGAGTGAAATAACTGGAAACACTGGGTTATTACAGCTTAATTTCATCCAGGCTTGGTGTCTTTACCAAAGATGGTTGGGGAAAGAGAAGGGAGATTCATCTTACTCAGGCAGTGATTTGCTCAGAATTTTACAAGCCATACCCTGTACAGACCTATTTGAATTCTACTGTGGGTTTATTGAACCAGTGTTGGAACAACTTTGCAAAACAGACCAGGCCAGTTAGGTACAGCTTCATGAGTTGGCAGGTAGCAGCAGCCCGTGTCTTCCCTAAGATGACATTCCCTGCCCAAAACACTTCTGTGAAAAGTACAGGATAAACAACTTAGAGAATACAGTGTAAGATACCCGCAGAAATATAGTACTTCTTTCTAGAATTTTACAGATTGTCCATGTTTGTCCCTTGCCATATAGCAGTCACTATTATTAGTGCTATACTTAATTATTTATCTTGATTTCTAATTGTTAATGCTTCCCCCCCATATTGTGTGACATTTGTAATTAATAAAAATCACTTAACGATGAATTGGTGAGCAGTTCATGTTTGTGTTTTTACTTAATACTTAAAAGGGGGCACATTTTTAGGGGTAGATGATTTGGGGTCTTTTGTGAGTGGGACGCTATCGACTCAATTCACATTTAGTACTATTGGACAGTGGTTTTCTTAATGTGGGCAGGAAGTCCAAGAATTTGAAATGGTTATATTTAAACCTGACCTTTTGAGTGGCGCACTGGTAATCCCTGGGGATTGCAGTTTGACCCTGCAGGCCCTGTACACAGAAAGGGTTTCTATGTTTCATCTGGGCCATTACTTCTGTCTTGTCTTTTGTAAACATTTAATTGGAGGTGATTATCAAAATCACTAAAATGGAGTAACTCACCTCTCTTCTTGTCTGTTTTCTGGCCATGTCAGTAGTGAGGAGTGGAATAACTAGAAGGGAGCGGCAGGGCAGCAGCCTGGCCCGAGGGAAGGAAGGGTGCCCTTGACACATTGGGCGGGTTTGGCAGTTTAACTGTGACTGACTTTGTTTTTTCTGTTACACATTGAGAGAAAAACTAAATGTGATTTTTCCATAAAAATGCTGATACAAATGTCCAAAACGTTTCTATGTTAAATAGTCTTTTACATTTTTATGCATATAGGTTACAACCTGCCATATTCATTCATCCAGTGATGATGAAATTGACTTTAAAGAAACGGGTTTCTCACAGGATTCTTCTTTGCAGCAAGTGAGTCACGCCTAAAGCTTTGCTTTTTGTTTTTATTTTAAATGCTTAGTTTAGTTGCCTTTTATGAATCAGCTTCAGAGTCAGATTATGTATTAGAATGTGATTTGGGGTTACTTATTAGTTAGGCCAAAGCATTTAAAATAGGAAGTGCTGGGTACATGAAAGATAGATTTATATTGATTATGTTTCAAGGGATTGTTCCATACCTGATAACAGTGATGAGTGAAGTACATTTTCAGAAAATTTGAATGAACTGAATAGTTAAGGCATCTCACACATGCTTGTTACGCAGACCTTTACAGTAGTTGAGTTGTTGCTTAAAGATTTGTGTAGTAGAGCTCTGCTGGTAAAAATAATAGAAATAAGACGTTTAAAATGTAAGTAAAAGTAAACTCTCACCATTACCCCCGATGTAAGTTCTATTATAGTTACATCTAAAGTAAATTTTTAGTTGAAGTAATTCATTGCAACCCCTCTCTGCCTGTCCCTGAATTTTTCATCCCCCTTTATCACCTACTTATAATCTCTGTGGGGGAAAGCCTCGATATGAATAATAAATGTGCTCATTTATCGTCCATTGTTAGTTCTTGGAGAAGTGACAAATGATTTTGCTTCTCTACTAGGTATGGGCGTTAAAAACAGAAGCCCTTTTGCAGGCTATCAGCTTTTCATATGGAGAAGTTGTCCTTAGCCAGGACCAGAATGCCTTGGCTTACATATTGCTTTGGTGCAGTGATAGAATTGACGGGGACACCTTCCCATCCAGCACGGAATGTTGTTGCTTGGCTTCTTTTTTTTAGTCTCTAAGCTTCGTCTTAGATGAAGCTTCACGTGCCTATGCTGGCCCTGTCTTTTGGCTTCCAAGTCTTACACCTGTCATACTCCAGTATTGGTTGAGCTAAAGCAATTGTTTGATTTTAATACTAAGGCATTTTAGCATTCATCTTTCCCAGATAGGTCTGAAGTGTAGCATTTCAGCATTTGGCTGGCTTCTCTGTTGATTCTTGACACTTCCTGCCCTTTGACAGCAGATTTTCAGAGGTTAGGGTCAGGAAGTAACCAGTCCATAGGGGGCACTGTTGAGCAACAGTGCCTTCTCAAAGAATGCAGCTCTCACTGCTTCCTGCCTTGGCTTGCTATTAGGCTGCACGGGCCATGGCGGTGACCCACCATGGCTCATTGTGAGCCCTCGTGCCTACAAGCATCCCTTTTCCCAGAGCACTCTGGGATTGTCCCAGGAAGCACCTTGACAATGGGCTCTCCCTCCACTTAAGCACCTGTAGAGTACGGAAATAGTCCACCCGTTGGCCATGAACCTGAGTGCTATACATTGGTCCACCCCTAGAATGAAGCTTGATGATATCAAATGTATATTATCAAGGTAATTTTGTACCTGTTGAAATACAGCTTTAAGAAAAAGAACACCTTACTAGTAATAATAATAAACTTGGAACTTTGGGCTGTCAATTTAGTCTAGATTTGGTTAAATTTAGGCATTTGGAAAGTGGATTCCTTTATTTCTCGCGATATCTGGTACCAGGGTCATACCTGTTCTGGGGAGAGTTTCCTTACATTATTTTGTTTGTTTGACCGACAGCTCATGTGCATACGAAGCAATTTCATTCACAAAACTAACTTACAACAGCCCTTGCCAAGCTCTTAGTCTTGCGAAATTTACCCACTTCATATGAACCTTTCAGAGTGGAAGAATAATTACTCTTCTCTGATTGACAAGCTTCCAGTACATTTTTCTTTGCATGTTTAAACCAATCTGTATCATTTTGAAAATAAATGCGCTCCAAAGCACTTCTTAAAATTTTGAGAATGCAAAAAAGTCTTGGTTAGTTTATTAGAGTTTCGTCATAGTCTCCATTAAGATTGGAATATTAGTTTGTAGACTTGAACTTCAAGTTCTTGTTCACGTTTGAGGTTGGGCATCGTGTTGATAAAGTCCCCGAATGTAGAGAGCTCAGGGCAGATCATTTAACCAGGTAACCCAGCCATGTCACCAGTGGGGAGTGCCTCCAGGCGTTTGTGCCCTGCCCATTTGTTTCTCCCTTTAGCCTCGTCTGGTCTCCTCAAGTCTAGTGTTTGACTCCCCACCTCCCTGATTCTGCCTTATAGAAGTTTGGAGGGTGAGGCCCCCATGGAATGTCTGGAGAGTTCAGTCTGACTGCTGCATATGGGCTCTGAAGCACTGATCTCCTCATTTCCCACTACCTCACATCACATACGGGTGTGCTGGTCGGCCGTCAGGCCTCATTTAGTTGACCAGTAGTTTCTGTTGCCTGGGTGGCATTACTGTTAAGAGATTTGCTTAATAAAGTGGTTGGCTCACTTCTCAGTGACTTGAACAGTTTCTGACTTTGGCCAGGATGACAGTACTAGGAAAGTATGCTTTTTAAAAGTAATTATACAGCCATGTTGTGCTTTCCAGATACAAGTTTCTCAGAGTTCAAAGCACTTTTTATATACCTTTAAATATAATACAGTAACAGTCTTCACTTACGTATATTTGTAAGCTGTGGTAGCTTTATTAGTAAAAATGAGATTTGATATGTGAAGTTCTTTGCTAGAAGCTGTAATAGACTTAGAACTAATGAGGATTACATTTGATCATTTTTCTTTTTTCTGTGCATTATTGCATGGAAGTTACTAGTGTCTGTGTCAGTTGCTATGTATCTCTCCAGATGGATTAATAGATAAATACATATTTGTATATGTATTCTGAATGTACATGTATGTATGTATACATTTGTATTTAGTATTTGTTTTCTATTTTTGAAGCATTTAAAATATAACAACACTTTGGGGAGTATTGCTTCCCCTTTACACCCAGGAGAATCACATTAGGATCACTGGAGGTATAAAAATTTTGAGAGCGTTAGCTGCGATGGCTTGCACCTGTAGTCTGGCTACTCTGGAGGCTGAGGTAGGAGGATTGCTAGGTGGTAGGAGTCTAGGAGTTTGAGTCCAGCCTGGGCAACGTAGCAGACCCTGTCTCTTAAAAAAAATTTTTTTTTTTGAGGGGAAAAATAAAACAATTGGGAGGGACCTTTTCCCTTGCATGACCAAATTTCTGATCTGTAGATAAACTCAGAGCATGGTTCATGCTGCTTACTCAACAGAATCACTTCATGGTTCTTTACCAGATCTTTGAAGTACTGAGCATCTGTTTTGCCTCATAAAAGATAAAGCTGCAATTCAGAGGAACTGATTTCTTTTTGATGTAATTAATATTAATGCTGGCTGTCATATTGTCCATTCATAGACCCAGAACTCAGCCCAGCAGCCCAGGACTTGTCCCTACCCTTCTGCTTTCAGCCAGACCCCCATGCTCAGCCTTGGTTTGCACTCCATGCCTTACCAAGTGGCCATTCCACAGCCAGTCGCTTGCTGCCCCCTGCTCCCTGCCCCCCTGTGCTCATCTAATATCACCTCTGGGGACAGGAAAGGGGACAGCATGGAAGTGGGAGTGAGCAGAGGGGCAGTGGGTGTGCCGTTGTCTTGCATGAGCAACAAGGGAGGTTTTGGGTTCTCTCTGTCTAGTCAAACTAGACATACAGAGCTTTTTTCCAGACCTAAGCAGTATAGCTACCTTCCAAAGCCTAATATAAGGTTTATTTTTAAAGTATCTACAATAATTATCCATGCCATAATTCCCTGCCACCAGAATAAGTAGTCAGGAATTAATGGTAGAGGCATTTCTGCAGTGTACATCTGCAAAGTGGAATCTGTAGGCTCTGCCCATCTGTGGAACCAAGGAGAGGGTGGTTTAATTCAGTTACAGCTGCCTCCTTCCCAGCAAGTGCCAGTGGGAGTGATGCCTTCAGTTGAGCCAACAACCGCCTCTCTGCCCGCCATGGGCTCACCCTTAGAAAACGGCAGTCTCATCTGTATGCAGCTCTAGTCACCATATTTATTGTTTGGGTTAGAGTGAGGAGGTGGCACTAGTTCGTCTTCATATGTTCTTTACTCCTTCTGATTAATACGTAAGAACAGACTTACTGATTTCGCTTGCTTCTTTGGGCCTGCTTGTTTTAAATTAGAATGTCAGCATTTTCCTGGGGTCCTTTATAACACCGCCCCCTCCTCCATTTTTCAACTAAAAACCCAAGCAAGTCTGGTACTCTCTAGATGTGACGTAAGAAAACAGAACTGGCTCCTCTGTGGGTCTTCTAGTGTTAGAGACTTTTCAGAGTGATTTTGGATAAGTAGTCAAACATTTACCCTCTTCTTAAGGTAGGTAGGATAGAAATTATTTTCGTTTTATATTCTTCCCAGCCTCTAAGACTTAATTTTTTTTTTTTTTTTTAAATGAAATGTCCCTGAACACTTTGTTTCTAGGATTATGCTTGTGTTGATCAGTTGGTTTTCCTCTGGTTTGCTGTAGTAGACTGGGGTGGAGGAGGTGGCAAGGAGGGAGGGAGGGTGTGGTCACCACTTGTTGGATCTTAGGATAAAGTTGGTTGTGTCCAGAGGTGACTGATACACCTTATAATTTCAGACTGTTCCATGTAATGTGATCACTTCAAGCTAGGCTTAATCCAAACCTCTCTCTAAAGATAATTCACAGTAGAGGACAGAGTGGTCACATAATGTTTCTTACAGTGACATGTGCATTAGAATGATTTGTAGACCAAATTTCAAACGTTTCCTTTTTTGGCAAATTGTGTCTGAAATTATTTGATTTTTCTTTTAGAAAAACACACCAACTTTTAAAGCCCTATGGCTATGTAAATAAGATGATTTCTGGAACACAAATGGGCAAATAGTATGTAGAATATCATTAGAATCATTATATCACTGTCACTGGTCCTGGGGTTGCCAGGCCTTTTCTGATTATCAGATGCAACAAATGACGTCCAATTTTATTGACCAGTTCGGCTTCAACGATGAGAAGTTTGCAGATCAAGATGACATTGGCAAGTGAGTATATTTTTCTGTTTTCACTCTTGCTCTTGCACAACCTTGATCTTGGCAGATGTATATGTGATTCTGCGGGATTCTTAGTCTTGAGCATTCGTGAATGGGAGGAACCCGCTGTCTCCACAGTGTTCCTCTAGTTCTAGCAGATTGACCCTGAGACTGGATAATTAGGACTTGAAATAACACTCCAGTGGCCTTGTGCGGTGGCTCATACCTATAATCCCAGCACTTTGGGAGGCTGATGCAGGTGGATCACTTGAGGTCAGGAGTTCAAGACCAGCCTGGCCAACATGGCAAAACCCCGTCTTTACCAAAAATATAAAAAATTAGCCAGTTATGGTGGTGGGCACCTGTAATCCCAGCTACTCGGGAAGCTGAGGCAGGAGAATCACTTGAACCCAGGAGGCAGAGGTTGTAGTAAGCTGAGATGTTGTGCCATTGTGTTCCAGCCTGGGCGACAGAGCCAAAAAACAAAACAAAACAAAACAAAACCAATATCCCTGCAAAGAAAGCAGCATTCACCTGTAGGGTTTCTCCTCTTTCTCAGAAGCCTGTTTTTATTAGATTACACTTTTAGGAATTCAAGTCTCCGTTCTTAATTTTAGCTTTTAATGTTAAATAGTATTATCTAAAGTTTTTAATCCTGGCCAGGCGCAGTGGCTCACACCTGTAATCCCAGCACTTTGGGAGGCCGAGGCAGGCAGATCACTTGAGGTCAGGAGTTCAAGACCAGCCCGGCCAATGTGGCAAAACCCAGTCTCTACTAAAAATACAAAAAGAATAGCCAGACTGGGTGTGTGTGCCTGTAGTCCAAGCTTCTGAGGAGGCTGAGGTGGGAGAATCACTTGAACTTGGGAGGCAGAGGTTGCACTGAGCCAGGATTGCACCACTGCACTCCACTCTGGGCAACACAGGAAGACACTGTCTCAATAATAACAATAACCATAATAATAAAGTTATTAATCCCTGTGTTTTTAACTGGGGCATCACGTTCCAGTAGATGACCAGGTTGGCAGGAACAGCTCTGCCCTATGTGTATTCTCTTCTCTAGGTGACTCATCATAAGGTAGATTTGGGTGTTTTGCAAAAAACAGACACTCTAACCACTCATTCTGCAGTCAGGGTAAGAAGCAGAGAAATGAGAATTATTGATACTGTACAGAATTAACAAGTAGAAAATGTGTAGGTGGTTAACAGAAATGAAAACAGGTGGTCTAGCATCTGACATTGGGATGAAAGATTTATAAACAAAATATTTTGAGATAGATATTATAGCTTATTGACACAGTTTAAGAAAAAATAGGAAGGCAGCTGGTATTTGAATATTGGATGATGACTGTCACAGGAGACACGATTATGCCATAGACACCCAGTATCTGCTGTGGTCTTTGGAAGCAGTAAATCCTCAATAATTTGTTGAACCACAGCCAGTGGAGGCCTGTTGTTTGTCACAAATTGCAGTTCGCAGTATGTGAGAAGCCAAAATATTTTTACTGCACACTCTTAATTGTACTATAAACATGCCATATGGGCACAGTGGAATGGAGGTGCCCCTGTAAACAGCAGCAGTTGAAGGCTGTTACCTGCCTTGAGAATTGGTTCATTTTAACTGAAAAAGAGCAAGAACCCAAGATGTTCTGTCCATACCCCAGGAACATTCTGCTGAGGCCAGGATCCACCGCCTTCACACCACACGCTGCAGGTCCCTGTTTGGTGTCTTGATGTTCACGTGCCTGGACTCTTGCTTCATCTTCCTAGTTAGGATCTATACTCTCTTTACAGTCTGTATTGCATGCTTGGACTAGTGATTTAGTAGAACGGATCTTTTAAGAATCATAAGATAGCCCCTCCTCCTCAAACTTACGTTTAATAAGCAGTGAATTCTTTTACTCCTCGCTTGCTTTTCTAGATGATACCTTGTATAGCATAAGATTTCGTGGGTGTCTGTATTTTGTGTATGAGTTTGACTATCCCTGGAGAAAACTCAGTGTCTGACAGCTTTTGTATACTTCATGTTTTGACTTGGTTCTTTGCAAATAACCTTTTTCTTGGTTATATTAGTATGGCCCATGGAACCATGGTTGTTACCATAGATGTTAAAAATCTTTTATAGGAAGGATTCGAGGGTGTCCCAAAGGCTTTATGTCTCAGAAGGCTTCCATTGCAGCCCTCCTATCCTACATAAATTCATTAATACCAAGGGAGCTGGCATCATTTAATACAAGAAGGCTGTTTCTGTTTGTTTTTTATTTATAGAGATTTTGATAATAGTGTAAATATTTTAAATTTGGAAACTTTCATAAATACGGTTTCTGTGAGCCGATAGTAATTAATGCTTCCTACACTTCTGTTTTTTTTTCACAGTGTTTCTTTTGATCGAGTATCAGACATCAACTTTACTCTCAATACAAATGAAAGTGTAAGTATAAACCCTCTGTTGTGAGTGGTGTGGTGCATGAGAGGTTAAAAATTGGGTTAGTCCGTGTGTGGATGCAACATGCTGGGACCCCTGTGCTCTAGAGCCCTAATCCTAAATTGGTGTTACATACTTCACTCTGTCCCACGACCTGCCTGGCACCTGTGGGTGTGTGATTTTTGCAGCCCTAGTTATGACTTGATGGAGCTAATAAAACCAGGGTCACTTGTGATTGCAGCATAGACAGTTGACTTCAAAGAGAAGGCTGCAGTTTGACGCCAACTCACTGCCTTTGACTCCTTTGTATTGCCAGGAGAGAAATGTGGACTGGGTCAGGGCAAGCCCCTCATTACTAGGCATTTCTGTGGAAGCACTGAGACAGTCATGTCATCTGAATGGGGACAGTTTATTGATTTTATGTTGACTAGCATGAGAGACCACTGGCTTATTTGCTGATGGAGTAAGGTAGGAACTGCTGATTTGAGCCATTGAAGGTCATCACTGCTCAGCTGAACTAGTAAAAGCAAACAAGTACGATGGCTTTTCCTTGCTAGGACAGACCTGGGACCGCATCTCCAAGACAGGGGAGGCTCCTGGGATTACAATGATGCTTTGATGAAATGAAAGAGGATATGGTTTATGCTTCTTTCTGCTAGTTTTTTTAGGGAAACCCAGACTTTTTTAGGGGAATTCTTGCTGTGGACAGAGAAACTAACGTTAGGTGTTTATATTTTATTTTGGTATATGTGACAGGCACCATTTTGTAAAGCAGTGAAAAAATGCAGTTTACATTGGTAATGCTTAAGAGAAGATAACTTGATTTTAAATTTGTTTTGTTGGTTTTTTTCTCTCATTTTTATTTAGGGAAATATTGCCTTGTTTGAAGCATGTTGTAAGGAAAGAATACAACAGTTTGATGATGGTGGCTCTGATGAGGAAGATATATGGGAGGAAAAGCACATTGCATTCACACCAGAATCCCAAAGACGATCCAGGTGAAAGATAGTTGGTTATAGTTGTAATTATAGCCAACCTATAAAGAAAATGATTATCATGAGACATACATTGTGTAATCACCAAACGTACATATTTACCCCAGAAACCAGTGTTTTTTTGTCATGGCCAGAAATGCCCTTGGTGGGAGTTGGTACTTCCAGTGTGACAGTGATCGGCTTGAAAATACTGCAGGTGTTTAGACACAGTTCATGAGATGCTGTGACCCAGTGTCTTCCGAAGGGGAAATGTGGCAGACAAGCATGGTCACGTAGTGCCTTTTACTAAATAAATGTTCCCTCACCAATAATTACAACACCAGTTACGTGGTGTTTCTTGTAAAAGATGAAAAACTTCCCAAAGGAAGGGGAAATTGTTTTTAAAAGTTAATCTATTTGGGGAAGATAGGGTCATGTCAGTTGATACATCTGGGTCAATCCAGTCCTTTTTTTAATCACCCTTATCACAGGAACCTAAATAAATGTTGCTTCTGTACACAGATCTTGTTATATGAGTATTCATTATCAGAATCTTCATATTTAAGAGAGAGGAGTATTTGATCAGCGGCTGAACTTTCATTTTTATTTCATTTATTGTTACTCATTTTATTCATTTACTTAAAATAAGTACTGTTTTCACATGGCCTAAAATTCAAAGGGAATCAAAGAGTATGCATTGAAAAGTAAAACTGTCTCATCCCTTCTCCCAGCCATCCAGTCGTCTTGCCGGGGAGTCCTTCAGCATCACCTCTTGCTGCCAGTTACGTTGCCTCTTGTAGGAATGCTTGTTGCCACAGGTTATAGCAGACTCAGCAGTGGCTTGAGCAAGTGAAGCTGTGTTTGTCTCAGCAGTGCAGACTTGATAAGGGAGTTGAATAAGGCTGTTAGACCAGGCATCTTTTATTTATTCCTGCTCTCGTCTTGTTGATTTATCTCCTATGATCACAAGATAGCTGCTATAGCTCCAGAGCCAGACAGCAAAAGAAAAATACCTTCATGGCATTTTTGTTTGTTCGTTTGGATAAAGTCCCACTCAGACTTGTTTGCCATCATTTACTGAGATTTTGGTTCTTAGGTTCAGTGGATTCACCAATGGATTCCTTGCCCACAGCATGACTAATATGTGTGAGGACAGTAATACAGTATGGCCTCACAGAGCACCATGTGTGGAAGGCACAGAGAATTTAGTGTGTTGGCGAAGACAGTGTCCTGGGGGAGATGGCACCTGATACCCAGAGGGAACACTGATGACAGAAGGCAGCTTTTATTATTTAACAACTCTGTTGAGGCATACTTGACATAAACTGCATTTATTTCAGTTGTACAATGTGGAAATTTCAACATGTGTATACATCCATGAAACCAACATCATAAACTTAACCATCACCCCAAAAAGTCTTCTCATGACCTTTTGTATACCTTCCTCCTTCCTGTCCCCCACAACCATCTGTTTTTTGTTCCATTAGTTTGCTTTTTCTAGAGTTTTATATAAATGAAATCAATACATTATACTTTTTTTGTCTAGCTTCTTTCACTCAACATAATTAATACGAGAGCTATCCATGTTGTATAATGTTTTAGTCCATTTCTATTTTTTGGGGGGCGGGGGCTGGGTAGTATTCCATTAAGAGGATACACTACAATGTGTTTATAGCCAACAAAGGAGATAAAATCAAATCATAAAATACAAAAGAAAACAGAAAAAGAACAAAGGGCAGCCTGGACAAACAAAACTACTGAGCAGCAGGATGATAGAGTTAGTCCTAAATAACCATGTGAAATAAACGATGCAGACACCCTCATTTAAAAGACAGAGATTGGCTGGGCACAGTGGCTCACACCTAGAATCCCAGCACTTGGGGCGGCCGAGGCAGGTGGCCTGCTTGAGCTCAGGAGTTTGAGACCAGCGTAGGCAACATGGCAAAACCCTGTCTCTACAAAAAATACAAAAATTAGCTGGGCATGGTGGCATGTGCCTGCTGTGAGGTGAAGCAGGAGGATTACTGGGAAGTTGAGGCTACAGTGAGCCAAGATAAAAAACAAAAAAAGATGGTCAGATTGGATAAAAAATGAGGCCTAATTAATGCTGCCTATGGGAAATGATTTAAATACAAAGAAACAAGTACTATATAAAAACACAAAAAAGAAAAAGATATGTCAACACTAAGAAAAGCCAGAAGGTCTGTATTAATCTCAAAATAGATTTCAAAGGGAAGGGATAAAGAAAGTGATAGATATAATGATAAACGGGTCAATTCATTCTAAGAGGACATCGCAGTTTTAAATGTCTACACAACCTAATGACAGAGCTTCAGGATGCACAGAGGAAAAACTGGTAGAGCTGTAAAGAGAAGTAGAGCAGTCCACAATGATAGCCAATATTTTAACACCCCTCTCTCAGTAACTGATGAAATGGTAGGTACAAATCAGTAAGGCTGTGGAGCACTTGAACACCACCATCAACTAACTTGTCCTCCTTGCACGTTTATAAAGAATCCTGCCCAACAACCACAGAATGTACATTCAAGTGTGTGAAATATTTACCAAGATAGACCATAAAGCAAGTCTCAAATTTCAAAGGGTTCAAGTCATTTTCTGACCGAAATGGAATGAAATTAGTAATCAGTAACATAAAGACTCTTGGTAAATCCCCCAGCATTTTTTTTTTTTTTTTTTTTGAGATGGGGTCTCGCTCTGTCACCCAGGCTGGAGTGCAGTGGTGTGATCTTGGCACACTGCAACCTCCACCTCCCGGGCTCCAGTGATTCTCCTGCCTCAGCCTCCCAAGTAGCTGGGATTATAGGCGCCCACCACCAGACCTGGCTAATTTTTGTATTTTTAGTAGAGACAGGGTTTTACCACGTTGGCCAGACTGGTCTCAAACTCCTGACCTCAGGTAATCCGGCTGGGCGACAGAGCAAGACTCTGTCTGGGGAAAAAAAAAAAAAAAAAAAGATGCTGGAATCTACAGAAAGACTACTAGAACAATTAAAATGACTTTAGAAAAGCTGCATGATACAAGAGCAATATAATTTTCCATCTTCATACTGCAACGAACAGTTGAAATTGATAAACAAGCCGAGCATAGTGGTGCATGTCAGTAGTCCCAGCTGCTCGGGAGGCTGAGGCAGGAGGATCCCTTGAACCCAGGAGTTTGAGACTGCAGCACGCTATGATCACACCTGTAAATAGTCACTGCATTCTAACCTGAGCAATATAGACCCCCATCTCTTAAAAAAGGGAGAGAGATAGAGAAAGAAACTACTAAATAATACTATTCATAGTAGCACCAACACTATTAACTGTATTAAACATGACTGGGCAGGTGGCTCCTGCCTACAATTCCAGCACTTTTGGAGGCCAAGGCAGGAGGATCTCTTGAGCCCAGGAGTTCGAGACCAGCTCAAGGAACATAGGGAGACCCCATCTCTATTTTTTTAAAAAGGGAAAGAATTTAAATATGTAGGGACAGATCTGACAAAGGATGTCCAAGACTTGTATGCTGAAAAGCCTAAAGCATAGCTCTGAGATAAAGACAACTTGGTAAATGTTTATAAGTAGGAAGACACAATATTGTAATACTAAGCTGCCAGCTCTCCCCAGGTTGAATCTATAGATTCAACACAAACAAATCCTTCCAGCCTTTTTTGTAGGTATTAACAAGCTGCTGCTTAAATTCATATGGAAATGAAAAGGATCTAGAATAGCCAAAACGACTCTTAAAGAGAACAACAAAATTGGAGGAGAAACACTACCTTATTTTAAAATTCAATAGTTAAAACAGTATGGTATGGGCAAGAAGGTAGGGCATAGATCAGTGGAACAGAATAGAGAGCCTATAAATACAGGCTTATACATATGTGGACAACTGACTCTTGATAGAGGCGAAAGGCGATTCAGTGGAGAAAGGATAGTCTTTTCAACAAATGGTGTGGAACAATCAGGCATCCATATTAAAAAAAGTGAACTGATCCATACCTCTTACTATAATACGTTAACTCAAAATGGATCTTAGACCCAAATGTGAAACATTAAACTATAAAACTTCTATAAGAAAACTTAGAAAATCATTGTGACCTTGAGTTAGGCAAAGATTTCTTAGATGTATCACCAAAAGCACAATACATAAAAATAATTTTTTTTTTTTTTTTTCTTTTTGGAGACGGAGTTTCGCTCTTATTGTCCAGGCTGGAGTGCAGTGGCATAATCGCAGCTTACTGCAACCTCTGCCTCCCGGGTTCAAGTGATTCTCTTGCCTCAGCCTCTGGAGTAGCTGGGATTACAGGTACCCGCCACCACACCCGGCTAATTTTTGTATTTTTAGTAGAGATGGGGTTTCGCCATGTTGGCCAGGCTGATCTCGAACTCCTGACCTCAGGTGGTCTGCCCGCCTCAGCTTCCCAAAGTGCTGAGATTACAGGCCTGAGCCACCACGCCCATCCATAAAAGAATAATTTTAGTAAGCTGAACGTCATCAAAATTTAACATTTTCACTCTTCAAATGACACTTAGAATGAAACGATAAACCACGCACTGGGAGAAAACATTTGCAAATGACACGTTAGGTAAAAGACTTGTGTGTAGAGTTAAGAAATCTCTTTACTCAAGAAAAAGACAATCCAGTTTTTAAAAAGCACAAAAGTATGAAAAGACAAGAAGATATAGGATGGCAAATAAGCATTTAAAAAGATGCTCAACCTCCTTGGTCATTAGGAAAGTACAAATGAACACCACAGTGAAATGGACATCTCCACCCCTGCGAGAAGGTGGTTCTTAGATTGTGGCCTCCACTTTAAGCAGAGCCCACGTGCTCCTGTGGTGGAGGCTTAGTGTAAGGTTGGGCAGCACGTACACAAAGCTGAGTCTTCCCGGGCATCCTGACCACGTGGTGCTCAGGCAGATGTGATCCTGCTGAAGCACCACAGGATCTTTTGTTGCTGGGTGACTTAGAATTTTCTGGATTTAGCTGGTGGCTGATAAGCAACGTTAAATACTTTGGTCTTTTTTTTTTCTTAGCTCGGGGAGTACAGACAGTGAGGAAAGTACAGACTCTGAAGAAGAAGATGGAGCAAAGCAAGACTTGTTTGAATCCAGCAGTGCTAACATGGAGGATAAAATGGAGGTGGATCTGAGTGAACGTAAGTGGTTTCATTCTTCACATCAGCTGCCTTGTCTTGGAATTAGGTACTGTTAACATTTGGCAAAGGAGCAGTTCATAGCATCTGAGATGATTTCTAAAGGAGTGGTTGGGTTGAAGCGTGTTGTCAAGTGAATTCCTCTTGGAGGTTTTAAGTTTCAGAGACAGCTTCAGGGAAGGAGCACAGCATGCATTTGTGGCTAAGGTACCTCCTCTTCCTGGTAGGCAGTGAACGTCAGCTGTGTGGGTCTGGCTGGAGGACAGAGCCTGCTGCTAGATCAGCCTCCTGGCTGTGTTGTCCGTGTGCTTTTGCAGAAGGAAAAGACCCTGCATTGGTGGGAAGAGGAGGACGTGGTTGTGTTGTGTGGTTTCGTGAGTAGAATCAGCCAGGGGACGCAGCCTTAGCTTAACCAGCATTTCAGTGCGTTCTTCGTAGTTGATTTCAGAAGCTCACAGCCTTGAAACTTGTCCAGCTGAGTGCTTGCTTATGCCCTGCTCCTTGCTAGGAAGACTTGAGTTAGCTGGCCTTTTAAAAATACTTTAAAAACTTCTAAAGGTTTGGGAAACAAACGTTCAAATGAAGGAGCCTTATGGGCCGATAGCGAGGCTTGCCCCAAGCCTAGGCAGTCTCTGATTGCCCCGCAAGGCCTTTTTTGTGTTCAGTCCCAGAGGCTGAAGCCCAGCTAGGGTGGACCTTGTGGTGACTTCAGAGCTAGATGGGACCATATCAGTCATCCAGCAACTGCCACATATTGCAGATAAGGAAACTGGGGATGGGAGAAGAGAGAGCTTCTTTCTGCTGCCCCTTTTCCAGCCCACCCTCAGGAGGAGGAAGTGGACTTTTCTCCTTTTTTTGCTCTGTTTATAACCCGAGGATAAAAGCCTTTGGTTACTTGAGGGTGTGATTGAAGCAGCTTGCTTCTCTTTACCCTCTGTGTGCACGTCTCTGAGTTTGTGGGAGTGAGGGATAAAATTCAGTTTCAGTCAACATGCCTTTGTCAAGTTCCTACTGTATGCCAGGTGCTAGGCCTGTAACTGCGAATGGGCCACAGACTCTGCCTCCAGGGGCTTAGGGTCGGCTGGGGAAGCAGATGGGCAGCGCAGGGGAATGGGGACAGGGTGCTAGAAGAGGGGAGCCTTCCATTAGGCATCTTCGTAGAGGCAGGTGGGTGTGAGGCCGAAGGACTCGTAGGGATTTGCCCTCGCGAGAGAGAAAACAACTAACTGGAATGCCCAGAACGTGCTGTTTCACATGGCTCGGAGATGAGGTGGCAGGAGCTAAGGCCAGAGGCCAGATCAAGAGTTGTATTCTGAAGGTTGTAGGGAGCCCCTGAGGATTTGACTAAGAAGATCATTATTGGATCTGTTTCAAGACACTCACGACAACAGTAAAAAAATGGACAAGAAAGCGCATAGTAGAGACAGGAGAACCATGGAGACATTGGATTGTTGTTACACATGAGAAATAACGAGAACTGCGAGATGGGCTCCAGGCAGCAGAGAGGTGTGAGGAGGAGACAGGGTAGATGCCCTGATCTGTTGGCTCTGGCATTTGTAGGGTGTTTTGTTGTTGTTGTTGTTGTTGTTGTTTAATGTACAGTTCAAGGCTGGGTGCAGTGGCTCAGGCCTGTAATCCCAGCACTTTCTGGAGGCCAAGTTCGGCGGATCACTTAAGGCCAGGAATTTGAGACCACCCTGGCCAACAGGGTGAAACCCTGTCTCTACTAAAAATAAAAATTAAATTAAAAAAAAGTTGGGCATGGTGGCAAACACCCATAGTCCCAGCTACTCGGGAGGCTGAAGCAGGAGAATCGCTTGAACTCAGGAGGTGGAGGTTGCAGTGAGCCAAGATCGTGCTGTGCACTCCAGCCTGGGCGACAGCGAGACACCGTCTGGGGGAAAAAAAAAAAGTACAGCTCAGTAGTATAGTCACACTGTTGTGTAACAGATCTTTAAAACTTTTTCGTCTTGAACTAAAACTCTGTACCCATTAAACAATTCCTCATTTCTACTTCCCCAGTCCCTAGCAGCCTCCATTCTACTTTCTGTTTCTCTGGGGTTGTCTAGTCTAGGGCTCTCATATAAATGGAATCATACAGTGTTTGTCTTTGTGACTGGCTTGTTTTATTTTGCATAATGTCTTCAGAGTTCATCCCCGCTGTGGTGTGTACAGGATTTCCTTCTGTTTGAAGGCTGAATGACGTTCTGGAATATTTGGTTCTTTTAGCAGGCTGGGTATGGTTAAGTGACAGGGAGGTAAATAAACACGTGGCTGGATTGCGTGCCGCTGCTGCTGTGATTGTGGGCTTGGGTGTGGGAATAAGGAGGGAGGAAGTGAGCACCCTGGATGAGGTTCGAGTTTGCCTACCTCCTGGGGTTAAATTGGCCGGGAACCAGGCCTCCTGCTTCTCTGCTCCTTGGGAAAGACTGCTTTTGCATCTTCAGATCTCTGGAGGCACAAGTGGGTAGGGTTGGGGAAGATTCTCTCTCAGGGCTTCAGGGCTACAGGGCTGCCCCAGAGAGCCTCTGCCATTTCACCAGTCTCTGTGGTGTGGAGGTTTTGTGGACGTTCAGAATGGTTTAAAATGTTAACATGGACTCTGAGGAGCTAATCTCCTCAAAGAGATTATCAAAGACATAACAACAGAAAAGTCATTTGTATGTAATATAATTTAGTTGTAGAGTGGAACTCAGGTGGAATGGTTCCAGAGCTTTGCATACGGTAGGCAGGCACAAATATCTGTCAAGTTGACTTTTCGGAGGTTTCAGGTGAGATTTTCAAACGTTCAAGCATTTATTCCTTCTTAGGGTCAGTGGAGCCCTACGACACTCATACAGGTAAGTGGGCAAGAAGCATGGAGCGCACCCTAATTAAATACCTACGCTATGCAAGCCTTCCTTTGATTTTTGCTAAGTGAATAGTCATTATGAAATCAAACAGATGAAGTCAAGTACCTTGCTCAGAGTCACAGTCAAGCCTGTCTTTAAAATCAGAACATTTCTATTCTACACAGGTACTTCTTAGTCAGTTGTGTCTGGGATAAGCCCTTACATAACTTATACCAGGTTCCCTAGCATTCCTTCTTGCAACCTGGAGATTCCTAATTATGATAATATCCCTGATGGAATGCAGTGGTTCCCATATCCGGCTTGTCCCTAGCAAGGAATTGAGGATTCAGCACTCTGAAGGAAAAGCATGGTATGCAGTTAGAGCAGATCCACAGAGACCTGACTTCATCAGAAGAGACACATGTCTGAGGAGGTGACATTTAAAGAGAGACCTGCAGATTAGACTCAAACTTGGCCAGCAGGCAGCATAACACGAAGAGCCCCACAGACTGCAAGTGTGCCCAAGCAAGTCCTGCCGCTTCAGCGTGAGGCCAGACCTGGTTCTGTCGGACTTAGGAAGCCTAACTGCAACGCACTGCAGTGAGCCCGCAGAGTGCGCCAAGGGCAGCCAGACCTGGACTGGGAAGCAGTAAGGTTGTTTCTAGCTTATTGGAGTTGAATAACCAACATGTTCTTTTTTTAGAAAAAGAACCTTTTTACTTTTGAATAATTTAGATTTATAGAAACATTGCCAAGATAGTAAGTCCCCATATATCCTTCACTTAGCTTCCCCCAGTTTGAATGTAGCCGTGGTACATTTGTCAACACTAAGAAATTAACGTTAATCCCTCTTTGTGTACGTAGCTTTGAATCTCTGTGTAGTATTTCCTTTGGAACAGTTGTTAGAAATGGGAGGTTTGAGGCCGGGCGCGGTGGCTCACGCCTATAATCCCAGCACTTTGGGAGGCCAAGGTGGGCGGATCACGAGGTCGGGAGATCAAGACCATCCCGGCTTACACAGTGAAACCCTGTCTCTACTAAAAATACAAAAAAATTAGCCGGACGTGGTAGCAGGCACCTATAGTCCCAGCTACTCAGGAGGCTGAGGCAGGAGAATGGTGTGAACCTGGGAGGTCGAGCTTGCACTGAGCAGAGATTGCGCCACTACACTCTAGCCTGGGCGATAGAAAGAGACTTGGTCTCAAAAAAAAAAAAAAAAGAAATGGGAGGTTTGAGACTGTGGGGGCATTGTTAGAGTGCCCTCCAGGTGGCTGTGCCCTGCCCACCCCTGCCCTCATTGGTGAGAGTGTCTTTCTCCCACAACTCCAGTCTCTTTTGCTAATGTGTTTTTGATAAATACCTTGTGGGACATGAAACAACTAAAGCGTTTTCCAAATAAAATTTCTCCCCTCTTTTTAGCACCCAACTGGTCAGCTAACTTTGATGTCCCAATGGAAACTACCCACGGTGCTCCACTGGACTCTGTGGGATCTGACGTCTGGAGCACAGAGGAGCCAATGCCAACGAAAGAGACAGGCTGGGCTTCTTTTTCAGAGTTCACGTCTTCCCTGAGGTGAGTGAACATGTGCTGTCTCTACACCCTTCCACGGGCGACCTGGGAATGGTCAGGTGTTTGCTATTAACGTGTGTTCTTCACCTTGACTGACTTCCAGGTTGAATATACTGTCCTCAAAAAGATTAAACATCAGCATACTGACACAGCTCTGTGTTGTAAGAAACACAGTCACTATCTTCCTTTCCTTTCCTCCTGATTAATTGGAAATGGGAGTAGTTCTTGAACAAAGTAGCTTGGGAGGATGCAGTCCCAGGAAATTAGCAGGATACAGCAGAAGATGCATCTCCATGGGCTTTTCTGGCTTCACAGAGCTGTCAGGGCAGAATTGAGAACAGGAATGAGGTGAAGCCAAGAAATCCTGACAGGCACAGCACTTCTGTGTGGGGTGTGGCAAGAAAATGCAAAGTGGATCTTGAATTCAATAGATAATATGAACTTATAGTTCACTTGCAGCTAGTCCAGTGCTGTAAATTAAGGGCTCCCAATCGTTGGTAACTCAGAAGATAGGAAGAAAAACTGTTTTGGGCTGACAGTTACTGTCTTAGACAAACCAAAAAATAGGCTGAAACCCATGTTGCTTTGTAGTAACCGTAGTAATAGCATTAAGTTACTGCTCAGAGGTACAAGTGAGATTTGTGAAAAATGTCTCCAAAATAATGAGTTATTTCATCTACCCTGCTTTTCAGTACAGGACATACATTTCACCTCCTCCTTTTTTTGGTCTGTTTATAACCCGAGGATAAGAGCCTTTGGTTACTTGAGGGTGTGATTGAAGCAGCTTGCTTCTCTTTACCCTCTGTGTGCACGTCTCTGAGTTTGTGGGAGTGAGGGATAAAAGAGGAAGTGTAATGATCTCCCTCGCCCCCACCCCTTACTGCTTAGGCGTTTGATGTTTTTTACTATGTTTCCACAATTCCAACAACAAATATCATTAAGAGGGCCAGTCTCTCCCAGGCAGTGTGGCTCAAAATAAGTAAAGGTTTTTGTAAAACCAGTCAACGCAATAAATACAGTTGCCATTGTACGGTGTATGTCTTTGCTGTTCAAGCTCTGGGAGACTCCTAGTGATTATGGTGGGATGAGAGGTTGGGACATGATGAGCCTGTCTAGAATGCTCTACAAAGTCCATGTCTTACTGCCCTGCTGGCTTAACAGAACATTTCCCTGCCCATACTCATCGGCTCTTTCAAACAGCTACTGGCACTTAGATCCATGTGTCGTTGGAGTTGGTAACTCAGTGACTCTCACACAGATGCTAATGTCTCCTAGCAGAAACTTATTTGTAAAGGCTTATTGTGAATCATGGTGTAACTGAGGATCACTCCCTGCTGCTAATACCTGAATTGTCTCTCTTTTTTGAAAGCACAAAAGATTCTTTAAGGAGTAATTCTCCAGTGGAAATGGAAACCAGCACTGAACCTATGGACCCTCTGACTCCCAGTGTGGCTGCTCTGGCAGCGCAGCCAGAAGGTGCGTGCAGAGAGGCCTGGGCACACGGCAGGGTCACATGGCTGCTTTGCCAAACCAGACCTGACTCTCAGGCTCAGGGGCCAGTGGAGCCAAGGAAGTGAGATGGTAGGTCTGATGTCCACAGGGCAGCTGATGAAAGAAATTGTGCCTGCCCTTCTAGACGCACAGCATGCTGACTCTGGAAAGAGTAAGGGCTCTAAGTTACCAGGCATGCAGCATGCAGATTAGGAAACTGGGGTCTAGAGGGAATATGCCTGAGCCCATAGTACCCAGGGTGAATAAAACTGGAATTAGACATGTGCAGCCAAGCCTGTATGTAGTTGTTCCTTGGAGTTTGCTTTGCTCAAACACGTGGGTGTATCTGGGTTTGTTTAGAGCTATGGGACTGTTTATTTTCACTTCACCACTGTAAGCAGATTGAATAGTCCTGGGAATCTCTAAAGTTCCAGTGGGTTTTCCTGTTACTCTGCCTAGTCACATGTGTTCCTTGCACTGGTTCTGAACTGTTTTCACCTTGATGGACAGGGCTTTGGGAGGAGGGGGATGCTAGCAAAGGGAGTGTGATGGGAACTGAAAGGATGTGGAGGGCACGAATCTTGAGGTGGGCGCAAGAGTGAGTTCTTAGAAAAAGAAATGATGTGCAGGTAGAGGGTGTGAGAACCCTCCTTCCCTGGGGCCAGGGAAAGGAATAAAACCATTAACTAATGCTGGTTTCGTCATTCTCCTGGACATTTGATACAGATTCCCACATTTTATTCCTCAGTGGTTCTGTAAGTGAGTGCACTGATCCCCCTTTTCTGGATAAGGAAACTCAGGTTATAGATGAGGTTCCTCGTCCAAGTAGTCTACAGCTAGGAAGTGGTGATGTCTATGTTTGAATCCAGGAAGCCTCACCTCGGCCAGGCTTATCACCTATGTGGCTTCCTATTAGAGAACAAGGAAATGAGCCACCAGCAACACCACAAGAAAATAATTTTTAAAACAAAGAAAAGCAAATAGAGCCCAACTGAGGAGAACAAGCGAGTAGAGGGTAGAATGTGTAACTGCCTGCTGTGCCCCAGACTGGAACAGTTAGGGGCACAAGTGTCTGCTGGGAGAAGCTGTGTATGGAGGTGGACGCTGAGCTGGGAGGGATGTAGGGGACTTGCTAGTCTCTAGTAAAGAAAACCCATGAAACCCCTCTTTAGTGGGCACCTTTAAGAAGTCCATGCCCATCAAGAATGTGGCCCAGGCACAGCAGACAGAAGCCATCTCCCTCTTGTTTTCTTCGAGCAGTAGATGTCACGTTGGTTAGATGGGTTTGTACAGTGGTGGGGTGCCAGTTCCTTTTCGGACTTATTGTGTGTGACCATCAGCTGTGTTCTTTTCAGTGCCAGGCAGTGTGGCCATGGAAGCCAGCTCTGACGGAGAGGAGGATGCAGAAAGTACAGACAAGGTAACTGAGACAGTGATGAATGGCGGCATGAAGGAAACGCTCAGCCTCACTGTAGATGCCAAGACAGAGACTGCGGTCTTCAAAAGGTAACCAGGGGTGAGATCCTGCTGGTAGCTTCAGGTTATTGGGAGGATGGTGGGGCAGAAACCTCAAACATTACAATTTTTAATTTGATTCAAATGAATGTTCAGATACTAGCTTGATGTCTTTCTACTGTCTCCATTAAACACAATAAATCTTAATGAAAAGATGGCAAGTTTAGGCCCCTAAGTGTCTTTTCCCCCATAAATGTGTTCAGAAGACTGTATTTTACATCTAGCAGTTTGATAGAACTATGAGAATTGATAAATCTTTAATCACAGTAGAAATTGGGTTGTGTAGCAACTACAGAGCATGGCCCATGAAAACTGGTTTCAGTAACATACAGATGATTATCTCTGGACATAATGTAGTCATGAAAATTCAGTAGCAAAATGATAGCTTTAAAAAAAAAGTGACACTTAGAAATTAGCCTCCCTTCTAAACTCAAAAAAAGGAATTGTAATGGAAATTAAAAACCTAAAACTGAGAGAATAATGGGGAAAATGTCAGTCAAAACTTCAGGACTACAGCTAAGCCTGCGCTTAGAGCTTTAGTCCTCATCTTAGAGACCCTTCCAGTCATTACAAGAAGAAATGCCTCCCAGCTTTTTACCGAGTCACTACACAACAAGGAGCGAAAGAAGAAAGCTGATTGTAGAGACTGATTTCATACATGAGTGTGGATTCTCTAAACTTCTAAGTTAAAAGCTCGCAAACCATATATAGCAATGTATTTTAAAGTCATGACCAAGGATATGTGCTCCAGTGTGACAATGTAAACACCAATGTGTACATGGTAAAAATTATTCAGAGTGATTCACAGAATGAGAAAAGCATTTGATTACAAATTAAAGCTGTTCATGATTTTCGTTGCAGCCTAGGACTAGAAAGCAAGCAGGTGAAACTGATAAGTATCTCTAGAAAATCTAGAGTAGACTTGATTCTTCACAGTGAGGCATTAGAAGTATTCCCTTTAAAGACAAGAACCAGAAAATGGGACCTACAGTTGATATGTGTCTTCAGCACTGTGCTGGTGGCCTTAGCAAATGCAGCATACCAAATAAATAGATAAATGTCGTTGTTTATAGACTATGATTTATACATAAAAATTCCAAGTGAATCTGTAGAAAAAGATTAATAGAAAAGTTTAGCAAGTTTACTGGAGATCTACAAAAATCACTTGCATCCTACAAATCACTACAAGATATTCCATATGTGCCTGTTTGTTTTTAATAAAAATGTAAAACCTTATCTATAACTAGGAATATGACCTTTATGGGAAAACAGTTTAAAACCTCATTGAATATATTGAAGACCTGAATATAAATATCAAGATTTACCATGTTTATCAATGTGAGGATATCTTTAGAATTTCTGAACAAGTTAGTCTGTGCAATTAATGAAATTGCCATCAAAATCCCAATAGAGATTTTCATGGAAATTGAGAAACTGATTGTAATAGTCATAAAGAAGACCAAAGAGAGCCACGAATAGCCAAAAACATTTTAAAGAAAAAAAGTGAGGGGCTTCACCATATTAGATATCAAGACTTAGTAAAGCTGGCTGAGTGTGGTGGCTTGCACCTGTAATCCCAGCACTTTAGAAGGATTAAGCAGGCAGATTGCTTGAGCCCAGGAATTCGAGACCAGCCTAGGCAACATGGCAAAACCCTGTCTCTACAAAAGATACAAAAATTAGCTGAGTGTGGTGGTGTGTGCCTGTGGTCCCAGCTACTTGGGGCTGCTGAGGTCGAGGCTGCAGTGAGTCATGTCCCACACTGCACTCCAGCCTGGGAGACAAAGTGAGACCCTGTCTCAAACAAAAACAAAAACAAAACTTGGTAAAGCTACTGAGATGGTGTGGCTTTGGCAAGAAAGAATTCACAAAGAGACCCCCTCCACTACATGAACTTGTTACATGTTAGAATGCCATTATAATTCAGTGAGGAAAGAGTGGACTAGTAAATAGTGATTATCCACAAAGTAGAAAAATAAAATTAGATGTTTTGTCTCAACATAAATATGAAAAGCATGAACTGTACAGCTTTTAGAAGACAACAAAACAGTATCTTTACAGTTTGGGTATGAGGCATTTTTTAACCATAAAAAGCCAAACTATAAAGGAAAATATTGGTAAGTTTGACTTTAATTTCTAAAAACCCAGAAGACATAAAATGAAAAGCCACAACCAGTAAAGAACCAGTAGCCAGGATATTAGAAAGAATGTAATATCAATAAGAGATAGTCTAATTTTTTTAAATGAACAAAGGATTCAAACAAGCAGCTGTCTGTGGAGGAAAACAAGGAGCAAACCAAATCCGGAGTAAATGGGACCTGTCAGTTACAGTAGTAAGTAGATGCTGTTTCATGCTCACCAGTCTGCTAATTCCTGTCTTAAGCTGTTAGAGAAAATAGAAAAAGTACAAAACCTGCCTGGCTCATTTTATGAGGGCAGTGAAATCTGAATTCCAAAACCAGATGAAGATAATTACAGAAAATGATCAGTTCATGCCACTTATGGGCTACTGAATGCAAAAATCCTGTGTAAGGTATTTGCTGACTGGATCCAACAGTGTATTAAAAATAATTTATAATGATTAGTTAGGGTTTTATCCTGGAAGGCAAGGATGGCTCAAAGTCAGAGAAATCTGTCAGTTTAATCTCCATATATGGTATTAAACAGAAAGTCATTTGATTTTTTTTTTATAAGGTTCCATAGCTATATATGATTAAAACTCTGAGAAAACCAGTAACAGAAGTGAATTTATTCTCTGCCTCTTGGTCTCAAGCCATCCTCCCACCTCAGCCTCCCAAGTAGCTAGGACTAGGACTACAGGCACACGCCACCATGCCCAGCAAATTTTTGTAGGTTTTTTTTTGTAGTGACGGGGTTTCACCATGTTGCCCAGGCTGGTCTCAAACTCCTGAGCTCAAGCAATCCACCTGCCTCCACCTCCCAAAGTGCTGGGATTACAGACATGAGCCACCGCACCCAGCCATGAATTTCATTAACTTGGTATAAGTTAAATACCAATATCAAAGTGCTACAGCAAAACTTATCCCTAATGAGGAAATTTTAGGTGCATTCACTTTAAGACAAAGACCAAATAAGGATGACCATTTTCACTGCCAGTGTTAGGCAGTCCTGGAAGGAAAAGGAAATAGAGTTATAGGTAAAGATCAGGAGGAAGTGATAAAACTGTTGTTCTTTGCAGGTGGTAATGATTACCTACAACCAAGTCAGTAGCAAACTTGTAACTAATAAGAATTCAGTAAAGCTATTGAGTAAGAAATCAGTTTTAAAAATTAGTAGTCTTTTTCTTCATCAGTAGTAAGCAACCAGAACCTACAATAAAAAGCAAGGTATTATTCCAAAACACATCAAAATATAAATTATTCAGGAATGATCTTAACCCAAGTCTCAATAGAGAAAACTTGAAGAAATCTGGACAAGTGGAGACCATGGCATAGCTTAGTGCTGCAAAGACATTTGCCATCTTGAAGTTAGTGTTTAACACAGTCTCAATCCAAATTTCAGTTGGATTTTTAGAAGGAACGTAATACTCTAAAACTTATATGGAAAAATAAAGGTTCCCAAATTGCTTAGAGGTAACCAAAAGGGAAGACTGAAAAAGAGACTTGCCCTGCCAGATACTCAGTCACACTGCAAAGTCACAGTGATTGGAACAGTTTTGATAGTAGCGTCCAAACGGGTCCAGGTGTCAGTGTGATGAAATAGAGGGATTAATAATGGGGAGGAGAGAGGAACAGCTGGCTCACCAAAAGGAAAAGTCAGGGGAGATCCTCCCTAATCTACATCCTAAAACAGCTCCAGCTGGATTAAAAGACAATAAGAAAAACATATGCAGTGCTTTCTGTGCACCAGGCCCTGCTCTCTACACACTTCATGTGTGGTAACTCATGGATTATTCTTAGGCACCCTGTGAGATAGGTACTGGGATTATTATCCCTGCTTTCCAGGTGAGGAAACTTAGGCACTACAGTTAAGTGATGTGGCCGGAGGCCAGAGTCTCATGATGGTTAATAAAAGAAATAGAGAATGTCTTCTCAATCTGTGGGCAGAAAGGGATTTCTGTATCTATCTATTTCATCTGTCTGTCATCTATCTGTCTGTCTGTCTGTCTATCTAATCTATCATCTGTCAGTCTGTATCTAATCTAGATTTTTTTTTTGAAGACGAGGTCTTGCTGTGTTGCCCAGGCTGGAATGCAGTGGTGTAATCATAGTTCACTGTAACCTCCAACTCCTGAGCTCAAGCAGTCCTCCCACCTCAGCCTCCCAAGTAGCTGGAACTACAGGTGTGTGCCACCACTCCTGGCTTTTTTTGTTTGTTTACTTTTTTATTTTTGTGGCCCAGACTGGTCTCAAACTCCTGGCTTCAAGTGAGCCTCCTTCCTCGGCAGGACTTCTTTAAAAAAACAGAAAGCCTTCAAAAACAGAAACTATAATGCAAAGAGTTGAGTTAGATTATATTAAAGTTAAGAATTTCTGGCTGATGAAATGCTGCAGACAAAATTAAGAGGCTGATGGCAAACTAAAAAAAAAAAAAAAATCTGCAGTAGCTAAATCAACAAGAGACATTAAATATTCAAGGACTTCCTATAAACTAGTAAGAAGAAGAAAACCCAAATCAGAAAATTGGCAAAAGATAACAGTCTATAGACACTTAAAAGCTTAAAAAAAAAATTGCTCAAAACTCAGAGAATTATAAATAACAATATAGCACTTGATACTCTTCTTACGTGAGCAGCAGTTAAAGGTGGATGATGCTGAGTGGCGGCGGGCTGCAGCCTGCAGGGCCCTGGTGGCCTGCTGGTGAGGAATACAGACCGGGGCTGTCATTCTGGGTAGTAGCCCGGGGTTCTTTGTAGGTAGAAAAATGGCCTACAACTCTCCACTCCTGGGCGTCAAGTACTGAGAAATGCCCAGACAGGTCTGCCGGGGCCATGGACGGTGATGGTCATCACAACACCCTGCATGGAAGTGTGGAGGTGGAGGACAGCTTTGGTTGGGAGAAGCCACGCAGTGTGGTAGGTGCATGCCACGGGTGCTGTGCCACAGTCAGCAGGGACAGTGGGTCTCCCCAACTGGCTGAGTTAAGAGGTAAATACAATGAGATGTAGGGTTGAATCCATCCCAGTTAGTGATTCAGAATACATGTATGTTATGACTATATATTTTTTAAAGAATTAGAATTAGAAACACATTAGTTGCTTTGAAGGGAAAGGAGTGGAGAGTGGGGATGAAGAAGAGTAACTTAAGAATGGACCAGCTAATTCAGATGATCACTGAATCATATGATTTTCACTCATTTTCCTACTTATGAATTGCTTGGAACTATCTGGAAATGACCCAAGAAAACATCCTAATGAGGTTTTTCATAAGCAAAATCGAGGACAGAATCAGCTCTGAGTGATAGACCTTTCCACAAGGAACCTCTAACTGACCTTTCACTCTTATTAGTGCCATTTCAATGATGTAAAAAGGGGACTCACAGACTGAATAGGCAGAGTCTAAATTTCTAGCCCACAGAGCTGAGGAAAGTATCTCTTGTGTCTTTCTCCACCAAGAACCATCTCGGGGGAAAAACAATCCTTCTGGGTCTCGTTTTCCCCAAATCCTCTGTGCCCTTAGGGTCAGCTCTTGGCCCCCACTTCTCCCTCGTGGCATTCGTGCTTCTTACACATTGTTCGAGGGCAACTCGAGGAGCCATGAAATCTGATGCAGTCATCACGGTGACCTCCTCCTGTGACTGAGACTTCCAGCCAGCAAGCTGATGGGGTCTGTCTTGCTGCTTTAATGGTGGGCTTTGCCCCAAAAGCAAAGTGCTTTAACTAAAGACTCATTCCTTCAAACAGGTTCTTTGACACCTTCACCGAGTCTGCAGTTTTGCTTACGTGCAGTCGTGGACATATTATTCCCCCAAATTCCTCATTTCTAGGAGTATTCTGAAACTCTTGTACATTTCTTTTTCTGTTTTGCACACTGGGCTTCAGAGTGTTGAAATCCTATCGGTATGTACGGTGTTATGGGACCATTCTTTATCAGACGCCAGCCACATTACATTGTCCCTCTTTTGGTTCCCACCTGTGTGCAACCCTTTCCTTTTGTGATTCCCCAGTCACTGTCTGTGGTCCCTGTGATCATGCACCCTGCGCATGCTCGGTCCCAGGACGCTTTGCCTCTGTGGCAGTCATGACTCCAGAGCCATCTGCATGTGACCTCATCCTCTGGTGCCTAGGTGCTGGTCCCTAGGGTGTTTGATGTGCCTGTCATCCTCTTTACTGCAGTGAGGAAGGGAAACTGTCTACCTCTCAAGATGCTGCTTGTAAAGACGCGGAGGAGAGCCCCGAGACTGCAGAGGCAAAGTGTGCCGCTCCCCGACCTCCCAGCAGTAGTCCCGAGCAGAGGTAACCACCCGCCTCCTCACACCCACCCTGGCCCTGCCCCGACCTTGCCTGTTACTTCCTGGGAGTTGGAAGGGGACTAGAGGGGTGGTTTACAGCTGTGCTCAAGTCTTCGGCCACTGACCTGGCAGGACAGGGTTTTCTCAGTCCTTACTGAGCTGATTCCGACTGAACTGAGAACTTAGAAACAGCAGTTCCTCTCCTTAGCACAGAAGCTGAAAACCAGTTTTTAGAGACTCTTTAACATCACTTGCTCTTTTAGAAGTGGGTCTGAACAGAGGGGTCTCCTTGCCCTTGTTGGTGAGGTAATGAGCTCAGGGTGGCATTGAGCCCCTTCAGGACTTGAGTTCTCAGTGGCCTCACTAAAGTCATGCAGCTGCCAGGCACAAGCAGATCGTGTAGTGCCTGTTTGCCCACAGTCCTGCCTGTGTGACACAAGGAGAACTTGCTGGAGTTCTTTCATACATGTAGCTAAATAATTCTTAGTGCTTGAGTGACTCCCTGTAATCTTAAGTATGAAATGCCCACTCTCAGAGCTGTGTCACTTGGAATGTGATGTTTTGTTTCTAGTCACTCTTTGCTTAGCCTGAGCCAGTGGTCTGAAGGGATGGGCCAGTCTAAGCCTCAGCCGCCTGGAGCCCATGCCAGGCCCTTAGCAAGACTGAGCATGGCCCAAAGATAAGGCTACGCCCCTGGTCCACAGGAAGCTTTGTTCAGCACTTCCCACAATTAACTTCTGTGAGCACATGTAGCTCAGATTGTATATTCCTTCCATAAGGAATAAAGTGATCTTTAAAGCTATTTCAGAGAAGTTTTAACCCCCCCCACCCCCACCCCATCCTCCCCAAAATCTTGCCAGCATTGTGTGAGAGCATAACCAGTGGGAACCAGCAGGGAGCACTCTTTGTTGGTCCAAAATCCTGTATTCACAGTGTAGTAAACTGTTTGTGTTCTTCCTGTGGAAATCGTAGCCAAAATAAAGCATTTGTTTTTGTGATTAAAAATATCTTTTTGCATATAAAACAAATTAAGAACTGTTTGAGCATGTTGGCTCTAGCGAAGGCTTTGAGGGGAAGAGGCAGGGTGGCCCTCTAGCACTGGGAAGTCACCTCAACTCTGCTTCTAAGGATTGGGCAAGTCACTCTTTTTCTTGGGGTTTTCAATGTATTTGTCTAATGGTCCTTTATAGGTCTAATTCCCAATCAATTGTGTCAGCTCTGATTTCTACCTATAAATTTCCTTTATATTGAGGGCTGCCTAGGAGGCAAGATCGTCCAGGTCCATCCCAGTTTGGGGAGTTGCTTCAGGGGAATATTCTTGGTTTTTCTGTCATAAGGATGCACAAAGCTCTGGAGTCATTTCCTTGGCTTTCCAGAGCACAGAAGCATCGTTTGCGTTAAGGGGAAACCACTTGCTCTCCCGTGGCTGGGAATGCCTGCTCTGAAGATCCCTGCCCTAACCTGCAGGGCCAAGGGATGGAGGAAAAGCTGGGGTGAGCCAGTGGAAGAAGAGGGGCATCACTCGGGTTCATGCCTTTGTCCATCTATCCTTCTTCCATCTGACACACATTTGTGTGTGTTGGCCACTGGTCTAGGCCAGTGCAGCACACGGACACCCAGTATCTCGGGGCATACTGGAGGCACGTTCATGAAGAAGCCAAGAAGCCACGAAGAAGGGATAGGGGTCCATGTGAGCTGGGGTGCGGGGGAGAGGATCTCTGAGAAGGTGACACTGGAGCAGGCATTAGGGCAGACCTAGAGTGCGTCCTAGATTGCACGTGTTCTAAAGCAACGTATGACAACATGGGAGATAGAAGCTCACCCGTCTTCCCTGTGTGGTTCCCGTCCCAGCCAGATAATGCACTGCAGTTCCTTGGATTGGCAGGCGCACCGTTTACTGTCACACTTAAAGATCTGCAGTGCCACATGATCTCACTTTTCACAACTGTTTTATCAAGCATGTTCTTTGTGCTTCCGGTGTGCTAAGCATGCTGCGCACATTATGTCCTTATTCCATATGTACACTAGTGAAGCCTTGTGGGCTGTGAGAGGGTTATTTTCCCTTTTTACAGAGGAGAAAACAGAACTGAGAGGGGCTAAAAAATCTACTTATAAGATCATTCAGTTTGTTCAGTGAAGGCAGGTTATATACCGGCTATGTCTGGTTCCAGAAGTCTCAGTTCCTATGTCTCTCATACATGGAGCCACCATCAGATGTAAGTGAGCAGAGTGGATTGTGTGTGCAGAGCTGACTTCTTGGCTCACTGTATAACCAGCAGGTGTAAGGCATGGAAAGCATTCTAGCTGTAAATTGTGAATGGTAATGGAAAAGTGCTTGTGGGCATCCCAGTTACAGCCCTAAGCACCCTTTCCCAAGTCTGCTTGATACAATTTTGGTTAAGCCCTCCAGAATACATTATATATTCAAGTTATAATTTTGGCAGGAAGGCGAAACCTGGACACTTTGTTATATACTGTCCCACCTCTTACTCCCTCCCAGTTTTGAGCCTAACATTTGCTTTGCAGGATCTTCAAGCGGAGACCTTTTTTTTTCCAGTAGTTTGTTTTATTTGCAAACCTTTTCTTTCATTTCTCCCCCTCCCCCCCACCTTTCCTAGTAGCAGAATCCTGTTTCCAAGTGAAATAGTATGTGGATTCCAGTGTGTGGGTCACATAAAAGCGTTCTTGAAGGAGGGGTGAGCACATAGCTCCTGAAGGCTCTGGAAGCCACAGTTTATACCCCACTGACCTAGTCCGTCCTTGTGCTTCTCGAGGCCGCGGTGGGGCGGTTTTCCCAGAGCATTTGCTCTGCTGCAGCCCTTGCCAAATGCCTGCTCACCTGGTGATGAAGCTTAGATGCCACTCAGATTTTTCTAGAGCTTTATCTCCATTCATTTACATGTCATTTTATTAAAAACTATTGAGTTCAAAACAATATTAAAATAAGCGGTCCCTGCCCTTGGGGGAGCTCAGCGAAGTGGGTTTTGTTTTTCGTGTTTCTGCCGCAAGTACCTCTGATGCCTGTCTGTTGCTCCCTAGGACTGGCCAGCCAAGCGCACCGGGTGACACTTCAGTGAATGGCCCTGTATGACGGGTGACGTCTGCTGCTGCTGACTGAGGACTGCAGACCGCCACCACTCAGGGGCTCTGGAGGGGTCAGCTGGAGCCCACCAAGCTGTCACTGCTGCACTCACTCTGCAAGGGATCAGGACCAGCAACCTTTATATTCTAGATTCTAAGACATTGTACAGAGAAATTCAGAAGTGTAAAAATATTGCACATTGACAAATACCAAGAATTTTTGCGTATGTTTATATTGTATTGTTCTAAATAATGGGTAGCCTGTGAAATAAGATCTTGCCACCCATGTAATAATAGTAGTAATACTATAGTTAAAATGGCTGTAATAATAGTTTTATAAAAGTGAATACACAGATCTATTGTATTTGAAACATAACTATTTGACAATTATTAGTGTGACCAAAGTATTAGGCGGTTTTCATACATTTTTCACCTTGTACAAAATTATGAATTCATTTTTCTTCCAGGCTGGCAAGGAGTTGTAGAATGAAAATGCCCTCTGTTATTTTGGTTGTTCTAACTTACAAAAGTGATTTTGAATAAGAAATATTTGGTGTTCTTTTTATAACCAGTTTTCGATTGATAATTGTTTTCTGTATTGTTTAAAATGGATCAAAAATGTAAGTCTATTGGTAGAGATTAAGTATTTATTGCTACATCATAGTTGATAAATTGATGTTATTGTAAAGCCATATGTTCTGTTCAAGTCTTGTTTGCTTGAAATGATTATTCCTACAAGTGAAACACTAGACTATTTGGAGTGTATATGGCTTGTGTTTGGGTTTTTTTTTCTTTTTTTTTTGGCTTTTGTTTTTGTTTTTTGTTTCGTTTGGTAGTTCATCTGCCTTTTAACCCATTCACCAAAATTTACCTTGTTAACAAGCATCACCAATGAACATTTCAGAGCAATCTGCATATTTAACAGACCTAAATCCTATTAGGCAAGTCAGTTGAAAATGCTCGTGCTGCTAATGGAATTAGAGTGCGTTCATTTTACAGGCTAGTATTTTAAAAGTAGAAATCAAAATCTGGCACCGAAGCATGCTAATTGTTTACTGTACCTTGTGAGGTTTTCACTCATAAATTTAAACCAGTGTATTTTTTTAGAACTGGTTTGTGTATATATATAGTGATTATGGATACTAATTCAATGTAATTTATAATTTTCTATGTCAATATAAAAATACATCATAGCCTTCTCAAACAGCTGAAGCAATATATTGTATATTGCCATATCGTCTGGTGAAAGGGTTAAATTACTTCACCTCTTGCACTTTTAGATGCAAATCAGTTTTTCATTTCTGTAATAGAAAATTATTCACGTATTTTTACATCATTTGTTTTTCCTGACCAGTATTTAAAACCAAAAGGATATTCTGAAAAATGGCCAACAATTTTTTTAGAAATAGCATCCCAAGCAGCGTGCCTAAACATTACATTGCATATGGAAATAAAAGAATCAAACGTCTAATGCCTTATTTCTGATTTCCTTTTTCATTTGAAGTGGTGTAGAGACTCCAGCACTCACAGGACAGTGGAGTCAGCAGTAAGCCCTGGGACAGGTGGCAAGAGTGGCTCCCTTGACCTTTGCACGCCTCCTGAGGAACCCACTTTCCCGGGTGAGCTCCTCTCTGAAGAGACTGTCCTCGGGCCTCCTCTGGAATCAGCACTGCCAGAGGACAGGGCTCCTCCTGCTTGCCTCAGGACTGCCTGGCTTGTGTGGCATTGGACTTCGGGAATTGCTGGTAGATAACATGCTCTGGTCTCACCTGGTGGCAAGCTTTGCCAGCCCTGGCCAGGGTTTGGCTCCAGTGGTGGCACATGTGGCCTCCGTGGTATGGACCTGGTGGCTTCTCCATCCCACCGTGGCCTCCGTGGTATGGACCAGGTGGCCTCTGCGGTATGGACCAGGTGGCTTCTCCATCCCACCGTGGCCTCCGTGGTATGGACCAGGTGACTTCTCCATCCCACCCAAGGTAACAGTGTCTCGCTTCACCCACAGGCTGCTAGTGAGGGAGCCTCTGGTACTTTTCTTTGGGGCAGCATTTTGTTTTGTCTTTCGTGGCAGGGAAAGGATGTGATGATGGGGAGGACAGTTCTTTTGGAGGTTGGAGGGGCCAAGCCAAGGACAGGAGCGAGCGTGCCCTCATTTTGTTTCTACTTTAATTTCTGTGTGTCGGCCATACTGAATTATGAGACTAACAGATGTCTACAATACAATACCTGTATTCAAAATAACAAAAATAAAGCCTGATTCTTTGTTTCTAGAAATCTCTTGTACCTTGCTTGGGCTTTTAATGGGTTGATGTGTCCTGCCATTAGGTCCCGTGTTACACTAGGTCCTGTGTGAGAAAGACCGCACTGCACTGTGCGAGAATGGCCTCTGGGATCAGGGGCTCATCCTCCCCACTGCAGTAGCCCAGGTGCCCAGAGGAGGCAGTGCCTGACACTGGTGCTCAGTCTTAGGACGGTTCCATGGGTTCTTCTGGACCTCCAGGTGGTTCACTTTATGTGCAGCGTGCCCCACCTATGTTGTTTGGCTTCCAGCCCAAGTCACACTCAGGTGCTCCATAATGATTCTTCAGATGTGATGCTTATTACATCTCCTTATTTTTCGTTTTCCCTTCACCTATTTGCTTAAAAACATGTTCTCTAGCCATTACCTCCTAGCAGGTCCTCTGCACAGCCTTTTGCTTTCTGGGCCCGCAGGCATCTCACTCTGAGCTGTCTGGGCACACACCTCTACATGCATGAGCCCATAGGCATCTCACTGGCAATCGTGTAACCAGGCCATGAGCTCTCCAGCCGGGTGGCTCATCACAGCCCAACTCAGCCACTCATGATAGTGTAACCTTAGGCAGGTCTTTGTCTCAGCTTTTTCTGTCAGGTGGGGAAACAGTAGGAACAAGTTCAAAGACTAGAATAGCTTTTTACTTATGGTAAATGTTTAGTAAACGTTAGCTAACTTGTACTCACTTAACCCCATAATGTCACCTGCTAGCTTTTCTAAATTTCCACTTCAATCCCACCTATTATTTAAAACCTTTACCTTCAGAAAAGCTGAGCATCTTAGTCAGATAGGTTTCGTTGTCCTTTAGCTTCCAGGGTCAGCGCATCTCACGTGCCAATCTGGCCACCACCTGTGTCTGTGAATAAAACTGGCTATTCGTATGGAAAGAAATGAAACTTTATTCCTACTGCACGTCATACACAAAAATTCATCCAAAATAGATTTACAGATTCAAACATGAGCGCTTAGACAATGAAGTTTTTAGAAGAAAAATTTATCTAAAATGTAGGATGGGCAAAGGCTGCTTCGGATGCAGAGCACATACCATAGAAGAAAGAAATTGGGCTTCCATCAACATGAAAATTTTCTGCCCTTGAAAATTGACAAGCAAGCAGTGGAATGCCACGCAAGAAATCACACTTGTCCTGACAGAGGACTCAGACCTCGGATCTATATAGGGGAGAAAACGGCAAATCAACATTAAGATGAAAAGCCCAATTTAACAAATGAGCAAGAGACTTGAACACACATATTCACGAAGAAGGCACAGATGTTCCCTGACTTACGATCCATGCCGGCCGCTTTCCCTCGCGATGGCACAGCTGGCTATGACTGCCACTCCCTGCCACCGCTCAGTACTGCAGGAGGGCACCGTGCCATCAATCGGCAGCCCAGGAAAAGATCGGAATTCAGAAAGTGGCTTCTACTGAGTGCTTAATGCTTTCACACCATCGTAAAGTCCAAAAACCTGAAATCGAACCATCTTAAGTCAGGGACCTGTGTATACGTGAGTGTCCAATAAGAACATGGAAAGTTGTTCAACATCATCGTTGCCTAGGGGAGGGCAAGTTAGAATCACAAAAAAGGTCCCATTTTCCATGTTTTAGTGTTCACATGAAAAAGACATCACCGAATAGTAATGAGAAGGTGCAGCTGCTAGAACTCACCTACTGCTGTCTGAAATAATACATCCAGTTTAGAAAACTAGCGGGCAAATTCATTTTTTTGGTTTGGGGGTTTTAAAAAAATTAGACATAATCCTGCAGACTCTCCTAGATACTCAGTGCAAATATATGTCCACAGATGATTTGTACAAGGATGTTTACTGTCACTTTATTCATAATATATCTAACAACAAAAAGGTAGATAAGCAGATTCTGGTGTACTCATACGATGGACTTCTACTCAGTAACCGGTGGGGGTGAACCGTGATGAATGCAGCCATGTGTATACATCTCACAAACATGTTAAAGGCTGGGCATGGTGGCTCACGCCTGTAGTCCCAGCACTTTGGGAAGTCAAGGCAGGCAGATCACTTGAGGCCAGGAGTTCCAGACTAACCTGGCCAACATGGCGAAAACCCGTCCCTAATAAAATTTTAACAAAAATTAGCCCAGCGTGGTGGTGCATGCCTGTAATCCCAGCTACTCAGGAGGATGAGGCACGAGAATCGCTTGAACCCAGGAGACGGAGGTTACCGTGAACTGAGATCTTGCCACTGCGCTGCAGCCTGGGTGACAGAGTGAGAGTCTGTCTCAAAAGTAAAGTAAGTAAATGAATAAAATGTGTTAAGCGAAAGAAGTAAGATATGTAAGCGTCTATACGAAGCTCTAAAACTGACCGAACTAATTGATGATAGAAATTTGAGTAGTGTGTTCTCCTGGTAGGGAAGAGGGAAGGACTGGCTGGAGAGAGCACAGGGCACCTTCTGGGGTGAGGGAAGTCTTCCGCAGCTTGTTGGTGATGGTGGTTACGTGAGTGTATATATGTGTCCAAACTCATCGAAACCTCCGCTTAAGACCTATGCATTTGATTGTATGTGATTTGCCCCTTAATCTTTTAGAAGACCTATGGAAAAGGGAAAATAAAAGTAAAGCATAGATAGCACTGTGAGGGAGAGCACACCCGCCGTGTCACGCACTGTGGCCCCGGAACTGCCTTTCCTACCCCGCCGAGGAGAGACTGAGGAGCAGGGCACGCTCTGGGCTCCAGCCTGGATTTGCCCACCATGGAGAGGACACATTCCGGATTGTTCTCTTCCACACAGTAGACTTTCTGTCCCGCTGAAGGGAGAGGTCTGCATCCCTGGGTTAGACACATCTCATGGAGGCCTCTGCCCGCGACCGGGGAGGGGGACATTTTTCTAATCCAGGGATGAAGTCAGAGAACTAATCCAAACCATGCCCCTCAAGCAACGTTTAGTTTTAAAAAGAAAAATAAAAGGATGTTGAATCCATTTGTCCGTCGTGTCTTATTTCCCAGAGGGCACTTCAGGAAGGCTGAAGGGGGCACGATTATCTCCACTAGAACTCCAGCTAGGCGCTTGTCACAGGAGGAGGTGGAAAGCCATGGTTTGTCTGAAGGGAGTGGTGTGAAGATGGGAGAACAGGCCACGCCAGCTGCTGCTTCCCTTCTCGGGGACAGCCACGCTCTGACTGCGGCTCCAGGGCTGCGTCTAATGGTTCAAAGGCCCAGTCACGGGGTCCTGGTGGGAGGACGTGCTTGTGCCCTGGCCTCATGTTTCTCTGTGGGATCTTGGCACTAGAGGAGTGCCCTTGGCCTCTCCACACTTGCACTCTAATGGGAGCTTAGTGACATCGCTGAGAGATTTTGGCGACGTGCATTTTTGGTTCAGTCAAAAATGCTTTCTAGGCTGGGCAGGGTGGCTCACGCCTGTAATCCCAGTGCTTTGGAAGGCCAAGACGGGCGGATTGCTTGAGCCCAGGAGTTCGAGACCAGCTGGGCAACACAGTGAGTCCTCATCTCTATAAAAAAGTAATACAAATTTAAAAGCCAAACTAAGAAGTATTTTTTTCCCCCATTTGTCTTTCAAGCCCTAATTCTCACTTGTTTCTGAACTTTGGTGTCAGGAGTAGGAGGAAGTTCCCCTAAACCCCCTCTTTCCTAAACAAACCAAGAAATAACGTTGTTACACTAAATCTATTTTTTCTCTTTAGAAGACAGGTGGTCAGATTGGGGTTGAAACTAGAACCCAGGAATATGCTGTTGATGTAGTAATCATAAAAGTGACAGGCTGAAAGTAAGTGGATAGAAAAATAGGGTACGAGCAGAAAATAAGAGTATTCATATCAGGCAAAGCAGAGTTTAAAAGCACCGTGCAGGGGTAAGATGCTCTTCGTCAAACTGTAAATACAGTAGTGGAACAAAACAATTAGAAATGTAAGGAAAGGGTCTTCTGTTTCTAGCTGTAAGAGTAATTTTATCGGAACGCACATCCTGCCAACAATGATAAAAGTTGGGCTTTTTAAAAACTGGCTTTAAACATTTTACAACTAGAGTACTTGAGCCTGGGAGTTCGAGACCAGCCCGGGGAATGTGGCAAGACCCTGTCTCTACAAAAAAAAATTTTTTTTAATTAGTCAGGCGTGGTTGTGCGTGCCTGTGGTCCCAGCTCCTCGGGAGGCTGAAGTGGGAGGATTGCTTGAGCCAGGGAGGTCAAGGCAGCAGTGAGCTGTGATCACACCACTGCACTCCAGCCTGCATGACAGAGCAAGACCCTGTCACAAAACAAAACAAACAAACAAAACATCAACACAAACTAGGAACAGAAGGAAACTACGTCAACGTAAAAGCCGTACGTAAAAACCCACAGCAAACATTTTACTCATTAGTGAAAGACAAAGATTTTCCTCTAAGAACAAGAACAAGGCAGGGATGCCCTCTTTCACCACTCCTATTCAACAGAGCACTAAGTTCTAGCCAGAGAAATTAAGAAGAAAAAGAAATACAAGGCATTCGATTTGGAAATGAAGAAGCAAAATTACCTCCGTTTGCAGGTAATATGATTTGAAAATGTAGAAAGCCCTAAAGTGTCCACACACACACACACACACACACACACACACATTAGAACTAATAAATGAATTCAGCAAAGTAGCAGGATACAAAGTCAATACACAGAAATCAGCTGAGTGTGGCGGCCCACACCTCTAATCCCAGCACTTTGGGAAGCTGAGGAAGGAGGATTGCTTGAGCTTGGGAGGTTGAGGCTGCAGTCAGCTATGGTTACGTCACTGCACTCCAGCCTGGGCAATGTTGCAAGACCCTGCTCAGAACACACACGCACACACATCAGTGGTGTTTCTGTATGATACCAACGAAGAATCTAAAAAAGGAAATTATAAAAATAATTCCTTTTACAATAGCATAAAAAGGATGAAATACTTAGGAATTAACCAAAGAAGTGAAAGGTGTGTACAAAAGAAACTACAAGACACTGCTGAAAGAAAGAAAATATTAA